CCAAAAATGAAAAAAAAACAAAAGGGGTAACACTGTCGGTTTTTTTTCGGGTCGAAAGTTTGAGTTTCGATATCTCAGCTCTGGAAGGGTCTAGAGCCTCCATTTTTGCACTCAGGTCAAAGTCTCACAGCCCTCCTATCATAATCCAGAGTTTTGAGAAGATTGGAGAAACTTAATTTTTCGCCCAAAAATGAAAAAAAAACGAAAGGGGTAACACTGTCGTTTTTTTTTCGGGTCGAAATTTTGAATTTTGATATCTCAGCTCTGGAAGGGTCTAGAGCCTCCATTTTTTGCACTCAGGTCAAAGTCTCACAGCCCTCTATCATAATCCAGAGTTTTGAGAAGATTGGAGAAACTTAATTTTTCGCCCAAAAATGAAAAAAAAACGAAAGGGGTAACACTGTCGTTTTTTTTTTCGGGTCAAAATTTTGAATTTTGATATCTCAGCTCTGGAAGGGTCTAGAGCCTCCATTTTTGCACTCAGGTGAAAGTCTCATGGCCCTCTATCATAATCCAGAGTTTTGAGAAGATTGGAGTGACTTAATTTTTCACCCAAAAATGAAAAAAAAACGAAAGGGGTAACACTGTCGTTTTTTTTTCGGGTCAAAATTTAGAATTTTGATATCTCAGCTCTGGAAGGGTCTAGAGCCTCCATTTTTGCACTCAGGTCAAAGTCTCACAGCCCTCTATCATAATCCAGAGTTTTGAGAAGATTGGAGAAACTTAATTTTTCGCCCAAAAATGAAAAAAAAACGAAAGGGGTAACACTGTCGTTTCTTTTTCGGGTCAAAATTTAGAATTTTGATATCTCAGCTCTGGAAGGGTCTAGAGCCTCCATTTTTGCACTCAGGTCAAAGTATCACAGCCCTCTATCATAATCCAGAGTTTTGAGAAGATTGGAGAAACTTAATTTTTCGCCCAAAAATGAAAAAAACAAAAGGGGTAACACTGTCGGTTTTTTTCGGGTCGAAAGTTTGAGTTTCGATATCTCAGCTCTGGAAGGGTCTAGAGCCTCCATTTTTGCACTCAGGTCAAAGTCTCACAGCCCCCTATCATAATCCAGAGTTTTGAGAAGATTGGAGAAACTTAATTTTTCGCCCAAAAATGAAAAAAACGAAAGGGGTAACACTGTCGTTTTTTTTTCGTGTCGAAATTTTGAATTTTGATATCTCAGCTCTGGAAGGGTCTAGAGCCTCCATTTTTGCACTCAGGTCAAAGTCTCACAGCCCTCTATCATAATCCAGAGTTTTGAGAAGATTGGAGAAACTTAATTTTTCGCCCAAAAATGAAAAAAAACGAAAGGGGTAACACTGTCGTTTTTTTTTTCGGGTCAAAATTTTGAATTTTGATATCTCAGCTCTGGAAGGGTCTAGAGCCTCCATTTTTGCACTCAGGTGAAAGTCTCATGGCCCTCTATCATAATCCAGAGTTTTGAGAAGATTAGGGAAACTTAATTTTTCGCCCGAAAACGAAAAAAAATGAAAGGGGTAACACTGTCGTTTTTTTTTCGGGTCGAAATTTAGAATTTTGATATCTCAGCTCTGGAAGGGTCTAGAGCCTCCATTTTTGCACTCAGGTCAAAGTCTCACAGCCCTCTATCATAATCCAGAGTTTTAAGAAGATTGGAGAAACTTAATTTTTCGCCCAAAAATGAAAAAAAAACCGAAAGGGGTAACACTGTCGTTTTTTTTTTCGGGTCGAAATTTTGAATGTTGATATCTCAGCTCTGGAAGGGTCTAGAGCCTCCATTTTTGCACTCAGGTGAAAGTCTCATGGCCTTCTATCAAGAATCCAGAGTTTTGAGAAGATTGGAGAAACTTAATTTTTCGCCCAAAAATGAAAAAAAACCGAAAGGGGTAACACTGTCGTTTTTTTTTTCGGGTCGAAATTTTGAATTTTGATATCTCAGCTCTGGAAGGGTCTAGAGCCTCCATTTTTGCACTCAGGTCTAAGTCTCATGGCCCTCTATCAGAATCCAGAGTTTTGAGAAGATTGGGGAAACTTAATTTTTAGGGATAGAAATGGAATGTCCATTGAAGACAGAGGACATCGAAACTCGACGCCTTGCCATAGATCCCCTTTCTCATTCAAATTATTTCGGAAGAGTCAGTTATTTACACTCACACATGCATTTCACCATCATTGACAGTCATGTCTGTGCCAATCCGAGGACTATAAGGCTTTTAATAATTCATGATTGTATCCAGGCACCTTAGTCCACCTTCCATTCACAGTGAAGTGATTGAAAGCACAATGTAATGCCACAATGTTGTATTTGCTTCCAAAGATTTTGTGTTAATTGGACTTCTGTCAAACAGCCACAGGGAAGCAGGAAAGAGCGCAGTGAAACCCTGGTGAAAAAGACGTACAATTAAGTGTATTAAAATGTATTTAATTATGTTTTTAGTTCAACACAAATATAATGTAATGCATTTTTAATACACTTAATTGTATGTCTTTCTCACCTGGGAAGACATCTCCCAGGTGAAAAAGAAGTGTACTTGAGTGCACTAAAAAAACACTTAAAGGGTTAGTTCACCCAAAAATGAAAATTCACACTATGGTAGTCAATGGTAAATGAAATTAGCATAGTGAAAAAACAATTATACCGAAGGATTTCTTCCCTCTTTTCAACATTAACAGGTCCATTATAGCCACAGCTCAAAATGTCCTCAATCAGTTCAGTCATTGTAGCCTCCGTGGCCGACTCGACCTTAAAAACACACACAGAGAAAAAAAAACACTGATTAAAATGTGTTGCCAAACATTTTACAGCACTAAAACCCTTAAGACCTCTTACCTGGGAGAATACCCCGCATCAGAGACTGAATCTGTATCTGCCCATCACACAAGGACCTGTAGCACCAAAGTTTGGTGGTCCGCTTTGAGCCAGACTTGCAGCCCAGATTTCACCAGCACTTCTGAAAGAAAACCGTATAAATTAGTAGAAACATAGGAGGACATAAGTGCATAACACTGTGTTAAGATCACAAGCCTACTGAACATAAAACAATAAAAGAGTATGCACACCTACAGTAGGAGAGGACCAGAAGGCGCACACTGTCTTAACTTGCATATAAAGTTTAATCCGAGAACAATGTTTCGGTCGCTGGGACCTTCATCAGGTTATTTTATGGTGTGAACAGAGGAAGACTCAATTGACCATGTGGGCCAATCAGAGCAAACCACGTAGGCAACTGCACTGTCAGTGCCTGAAATTATTGTCAAACACAATTCCTTTTTTTCTTGTCATATATGGCCTGAGTTTCCAGCCCTGCAACATGTAAACAAAAGATTGTTTGAGGACTCAGACTTATGGACCCCACTGTATGCAAGCATATCTTACCTGAAATTTCCTTGATCAAGATCCAACAGGGAATATTTATGCATTTAAACTTTTTAATCGAAACTTTTTTAAACTAAACTTTTTGAGAGAAAGTAACAGCTCGGTCAATTTAAAAGTATTAAATCCAACCGGTCAACACATTAATAATCCATTGGTGGGAAGACAGATGCTTGGAGGGATATCACACATATCTCACTAAAATGCTACAAAATCTTGACATTTTTTATTGACTAAATTGTGCTAAGACTCTGTTACCTCTCTCCACACTCGCTTGCATGTTCCTCCAGGTCATCGGGAGGAAAAGTATGGCCACAGATTGCTCTGCAACTGGAATCAATGTTTAACATTAAAAGGTGGAGACAATAATACCTCAAAAATAAACACTCATCACACATCCCTCACAAAAAACACACCTTCCTCCGTAGGCTGTCAGGAGGAATAACACAATTGAAAAAGAAATTGTGACATGATTGCAGTGCTGTTACTCATCATTCATCAGATGTTTTTGCATAAACTGTTCATTAATTGACACAGCCTCGTTGCAAATATACCTTAAATCCACATCATAACAGGTGGAAATGGCCACTATACAAGCTATGACAAAATTCAACTGTAATGTTGAGCCTCCTCTTTGTTCTCTTAAAGGGATACTCCACTTTTTTAGGAAATAGGCTCATTTTACCACTCCCCCAGAGTTAAACAGTTGGGTTTTACCGTTTTCGAATCCATTCAGCTGATTTTCTGATATTTAGAATAATATCAGTAACCAGACAGTTTCTGGTCTCATTGACTTCCATAGTAGGAAAAAAAATATACTTTTTAAAAAAAGTCAATGAGACCAGAAACTGTCTGGTTACTGATATTCTTCTAAATATCAAAAAAAAAAAAAAAAAAAAAATCAGCTGAATACATTCGAAAACGGTAAAACTCGAGTGGTAAAATGAGCCTATTTCCAAAAAAAGTGGAGTATCCCTTTAAAACATTGTATTAAAGCTTAATGGTCTCCCAACATTATCCATACAAGTGGATAAGTATCTGAAGGCTTGCATGTTTCAACATGCAGCGCTAGGATTTGCAATGGTGTGACAGGAGTGGCACATTGCCTTCGGCATACTAGAGAAGGACCTGGAGTCTGGTTGAGTGTCTAGTTCCTCCTGTACGGAGCAATATATAGCCAGACACCCTTCCTTTCCGCCTATACTTGCAGTCTTCAGCATTAGCCCAGTATATCCAGCATATATATAGTTTTCTAGAACCCCACCCTCTTAACAAGAAAAGAAATGTGACAGTACTCATCACTCAAGATATTGATTCAAATTATTTTATATCAAGATTAGATTGGCCATGGGTAAGCTCCTTTGTAAATCAGCCAGCCCCCAGACACACTTGCCAGTTTTGGATAAAGATCTTTGAGGGTTGAGCATACCTTCAAAAGTAATATACACTACGGATTATTTAAGATTTTTTTATGTTTTTAAATGAAGTCTCTTCTGCTCACCAAGGCTGCTTTATTTGATGAAAAAAAACATGACAAACAGTAATATTATGACAATTTAAAATGACTGTTTTCTAATTTAATATATTTTAAAATGTATGAATTTTCAGCATCGTTACTGTTGCTGATTACACATCAGTTTTCAGTGTCACATGATCCTTCAGAAATCATTCTAATATGCTGATTTTATGCTCAAAAACATAAATTATTATTTTCAATGTTGAAAACAGTCGTGTACCATTTTCCCCCCCGCAAAATTCTATGATGAATAGAAAGTTCAAAAGAACAGCATTTATTTAAAATAGAATCTTTTCTAACATTATAAATGTCTTTACTGTAACTTTTGATCAATTTAACTCATCCTTGATGAATAAAAGTATTTTCTACTGTCTTTCCCCCAAAAATAAGAAATAAATTTTTACTGACCCCAAACATTTGAATGGTAGTGATTAATGTTACAAAAGCTTTTCATTTCAGATCAATTCTGTTCTTTTGAACTTTCAATTAAAATAAAAATGTAAAAAACAGTTTTCAACATGGATAATAATCATAAATGTTTCTTGAGCATCATATTTCTGTAGGATCATGCGACACTGAAGACTGGAGTAATGATGCTGTAAATTCAGGAATGATCACAGGAATAAATTACACTTCACTATATATTCACATAGAAAACAGCTGATTTAAATTATAATAATATTTCACAATATTACTGGGGTTTTTTGTATTTTTTATCAAATAATTGCAGCCTTGGTGAGCAGAAGAGACTTCTTTTAAAAACATCAAAAATCTTACCTATCTAAAACTTTTCACCGGTAGTGTAAATCATACCATCATATTGACAAACGAACATTGGTTTTGATAGTGGACTATATTCAAACATTATATGACAAAAAATAAATAAATTGTTGCCTCACCTCATCATGGGTGTAGTTCTCTGGTATCAGCGTGGACCTTGCAGATGGAAAACTTCTTCACTGCCTTTGGGAGTGCACTCAACAATTTTGGGTAAGAGATAAGATGTAACTTCTATCTCTTTGACCGGTGTGGAGTGGTTGGAAGGCCCTTGAACGCGCCGGCGCTTTCCCCTGGCTCCAAAAAGGGCAGGAAAAGACCTGTGATGATAATTTATTAATTTGACATTACACAATACAAATACACATTTCACTAGCTATAGTTTGAGAATTTAAATTGATGAATGTCAGTCTGACAAAGAAACCAAATACAGTGAAGAACCTTGTCATGTCTGTGTGGACACTGGGTCGGCCATCTCTCCCTCTTTCCTGACTCCTTCCCTGTAAGCTAGAATGACATGCCGTGTTCAGGAGATGCATCACATTATTTTATTATACATGTTAATCTGTGTGTGTGTGTGTGTTGTTATCTTTGTTGCGAAACTACACAACACCTTGGAGTCTCTAGGCCAAGGACCAGGGGAAGGTGTTGCATTTGTGAGCAAATTTAGGAGGCGTCTTGCTGAATTGACTATTTCTGAGTTCAAAAATATACAAATTCAGCAGTAGGTTGGAAAAGCTATACAATACATCAACTTAATAACCCATAAAACAATTTAAATAACTTAAATATTACCAAATCAAAAATTACAAAGTGGGATGTTTTCCATATTCCAAAGAAAATATATTGCAACAAGTTATTCAAGTAAATGGCTAGCTATATCAATATAAAACAAAATATTAATAAATTAGGCACTATATTTATAGGCCACAATACCATATGCACTATTGAATTTAATTAAACAAAACATCCAGCTTTCTTTCGAAGTGTAAATGTGCTATTTTTGTGTTCTTGTCAAACGGAATTGGCTAACTTATGCATTCAGTTCAAATGAATAGGGCTAGTGCTATGGTTTGCCCTGAAGTTTATGGCCTTACATTATGTTAACACCTGCCGTACACAGCGACACATAAGATCGTTAGATCGTAAAAAAATGTCATTACCGTATTTGTCCCAGCCGGACCCATGGTGGTGTCACGCCAGTCGGCAAGTCAGGCTCAGGCAAGCACTTCTACTTTGTTTCATGGCGGGTAACATACTGTGCTCCAAAACATTGGTGCTGATTGGCCCAAGAGGAGTCCTGTGCGCCAATCATAGACGTGCGCCAATGAACTCTATCTATCGATCTGCGCTCGATTGCTCTTCCTTCATCCTCCAACTACCCGGATGTCTGTCTCAGTAACTTGAACTTGAATTTGAGAACTGAATCTGAATTGCGATTTAAAATCAGTTTTTCAATGCAATTTTTCAAGTTTAGCCATTCAAATTCAAATATAAATGGTTCAAATTCAGTTTCTGGTGGCACATATTTCAGCCCATAGGTTCCAGCCTATACCACAGACAAACCGGAAATTCTATTTCCGTTGTTGTGCAACTAGCGAACGAACATTTAATAGATTCTAATGATTGTAAAGATATAGATCGGCCAGTAAGGATTCAAAAATACTTTGGAGGAAATTTTTTATTTTATTTTAAACATTGCATATGTTATTTATCCTCGTCACCTACTGATCAGAATTGGGCGGGGTCAAGGAGGTGATGATGTAAACTAGCCAATGATGTGTTGCCCTATGACAGAGTGATGTCACAATGTAATTAAAATACAGTCTCAGTTTTGTTTCAAGTGAAGATAAAGTTGAGTTATGAATGTAAAGTACAGTTATTATACGTCAAAGATCATCAAGGTAAATCTTATTGTGTTATGAGCCCAAAAGTCCCAGTACAGATAGTAAAAAATAAAAAAAGCATTGTTCCGCAACCCTTGAATATCATAAACGTCATAAAATTATCATAAACATTCAAGTTTCAAGGCTCCTAGTTATATTTAAATGAGAAATAAAGCTTTCTGGGCATGGCGCTGAAAATTAAAAGTGCAGGAAATATAATACTTTTTGATTTGATTCAATATCGGGTTTTATTAACATATTACAAAAATATTAAAGGTCTGTCTGGTGGGTTGATGAGGTTTCAAAACTATTTCCTGTGAAAATCCCTATACATCACAAATTACATGTGATATATAACCTCCATACACAAATACATAAGGACATAATAGACACGTAACAATTTTACATTAATTCAAGACACTTAACAGTAGTGCTACTCTTCTAATGACGTTGGGGGCTATTTTACAAGAAATCAAATTTTTTATTAATTCCCAGTCAGTAATTGTATCCCTTAAAACTCATCTTTGATCACCAAAACTACATATTTAACCTTTTTTCCTTAAAATATCTTGAATGTAACTTGACACCCTTGCCTCATTTTTTAGTATCTGTGGTTCTATGAATACGCAAATGAGCCCCGCCTCCACTCACTCCACTGAGATCCACTGGTTGACGATCACACGTTGATCTGATTGGTTACAAGGTGGTTTGTGACGTCAGAAACACCAGCGATTTTTGAGACTGTCTTTCACTGCAGTTTTAAGGAGGAAATACTCAGCAATGCTGTCCACTTATCAACTTACACAGCATATTAAAAACACCACACAGACACAAACAACGTTAAACTCTGGATTTTCACCACACCGGGACTTTTAACAAAAGTCAAGACGGAAATCATAATGCTTTGGAAAACTATTTTGAAAGCATCACAATAAATTGTGCAAAACAGGAGATAAAAAACAAAACAAACCAGTGAGCAAAGGCGGTTCTTGACTCAATTTTTAACGACCCTTTATGCATAAAAGTTTCTGAAATGTCTTTGCATAGTACTCGTTTAATTTCGTAATTTCTAGTGAAAAAGAATGTTTATGAGCTGCATAATTCATAAAATTGAATCAAATCAAAATAAACAAACTAAATCCATAAAGTCCCATGATGATAGATGAAGTCTATATAATGAAGCGCATATAAACCCTTCTCCCAGTGTCACCCAAAGAGATTTGATTTGGGTCTTGAGAGGTTTGAAGGCTCTTCTGCCGCATCTTTCTCAAATCGATCCATGAGAGAAGTGCTGTGCACGATCTGCGACCGCAGGCGGATTTTATTCAGACTGGGTCTCATTTTAGTAAACGAAGATTTCCTGCGAAGAGAAGATTTCCTGGTCACGCCGCTACTTTCCTCTTCGCTATTGTTGTGGTTTTGTGTTTTCAAAGGTCTGAAGTTGGACTGAATAACCCTCGATAATCTCCAGCGACTCGCGTCTCCAACATCCACATGATCCGCGTCAGATTCAACGCACGCGCCCACGATGTCAAGAATGTTCCGCGCGATGTCGCTCTTTAAATACTGACACGCTTTTCTCCCGTTGTAATCGCGAGCTTCCACGTCGGCGTCAAACGCGCCGACTAGCAACTTCACGACCTCGAGATGATTATGCATCGCGGCTAAATGTAAAGGCGTGTATCCGGCGCTGGACCGCGTGTTGACGTTGAGCGCGATGCCATTTTCTTTCGCAAAGTTGACTAGCATTACGATCAGCTCGTGTTTCCCGAGCTTTGACGCCCAGTGTAAACAAGTGAATCCCGTAATGAAGTCTTTCCTAGTAATGAGGCTGGGATCCCTGAGGAGAAGCCCGTGGAGACTGTCCCAGTGTCCGTCAGACGCGCTCATCATCCAGTCGTGCTCCAGCGGCTCCAGCGTCAACGACGCGGGTTCATAATCGGCGTCAGGACGCGGAGGCTCGCGACACCTTCCCGGGAGATAAACGGAGCTTCTCGGACGAACCTGAGGCGAACTGTCAATCAAACCCTGAGAGAAATGTTTACGGTTGAAATCGTCGGTTAAACGGTTTTCTTTTCCAGGCTCTGAATCGCCTTTCACTTCATTTCCCAAACTAACGTTAGTTCCCTCAGATTGTTTCTTCTGTTGTTCTTCATCTTCAATCTCTGGTCGATTTATTTTCAGACTTAAAGCAGTGTTATCCTCATTCGTGCTACTGTTTTTATTCCCCATGTCAGATTCTGTCGCTCTCTGTGAAAACTTGACTGAATGATCTGGGTGACCAGTTCCGTAACCCGAGCCAGGTAAAGACGTTAACATTAACATTCCTTCTTTTCCTCCACTTTTGCTGACACAGGCCTCGTGTTCTTCTTCTCGGGATTTGAGCTCATTCATTCTGTCACTCTCGTTTGAACGCCTGAATTTCTTTTTGAGGCAAACGTATTTCTCTCCGTTTTCCTCTTTAACGTAAGCCACGCTATCTACGTACCGTTTAAAGGCTTCCTTCGCCGCTTGTTTTATCGCAGGATCTTTGGGGATTGTAGCTCGAAAATGATTCGTTAAATCAGCGTTCTTCACGCGTCCTCCGTTCTCCTTTATGAAATATAAAACCGCTTCTTGGTTGCATTCGGTCGCCATGGTGTGTATTCTATTCATCAAGCGAAACACTGCCTCTGTAAATCAACAATCACGGACTATTTAACAATACATCAATAGATATCCAGGTAAACAGGGAATGCTGCCCAGTTAATCTGCTTGATGCTCTTTATCCCCGCCCGCACTCACTCACTCGGGCTGGTGTTCTCCGTGCCTCCTGCGGGTGGCGCTGTTCATCAGCCTCCTCTCATCTGTAGTGAAAACCAATGGATTTACGAATGTGTGACCCTGGACCACTAAACCAGTCACATGGGTAAATAAAAAAAAAAAAAAAAAAACTTTCCATTGATGTGTGGTTTGTTAGGATACAACATTTGGCCGAGAAACTATTTGAAAATCTGGAATCTGAGGGTGCCAAAAAAAAAAAAAAAAACAACAACAACAAAAAAAAAAACCCCTGAAGATTCGCTCACTAACATAACGTTAAATGTTATATTTACGGTAAGAAATGTACAAAAAATCCTAATGGAAAATTATCTTTACTAATGATATCCTAATGATTTTTGGCATAAAAACCAATAGCCTTTTTTAACCCATACAATGTATCGTTGTCTATTGCCACACATACCCGTGCGAGTCGTGACTGGTTTTGAGATCCAGGCAGGGTCACATGTTAAGCCATGACTTTTGACTTTTATTTATTCCCAGGAAATGAATTTGTGATATCAACTAGCCTATTCAGTTGTCAGTAGTTAAAATGTTAATTCAACAGTGATGTCATCACTCTCAAAAATTGATGATTCGTGATATCAATAATTAAAATTGAACTGGTAAAATTTTTTTTATTTTTGATAGGCTATCCAGAATTTATATCCTGGGAATGGCAATAGGCAAGCTGGATATGAATTTGTAATATTAAGAATTACATTTTCAACTAGTAAAAACTATAATTCTTGATATCTGTAATTGTATTTTCACTAGTTAAATATTCACAAAGGCTGCCATTCAAATTCAATTGTTGATGGAATCAAGAATTAATTTCTAAGTTGAAATTCCAATTTCACATTTCAGAAATTCAAGTAAAAATGTTAATTTATGATATCAATAATTACTATGAAATCAAGAATTCAGTTGTCACTATTTGAGATGTTAATTCCTGATATCTGTAAATTTATTTCAACATGTTACATTTGTTATTTCTGATATCTGTAAATGTATTTTTTATAACACAAATGACACAAAAAAACTGAACATTTTTACTAGTATCAATTCAACTGTTGATATTAAGAACAGATATTTTGCACTAGTAACCACGTAATTATCAAAGATTATGATTTTTTACTTTCAAGAATTGCATTTCTGAAACGTGAAATTTCAACTATAAGAAAGCAATTCAGTAGAGATCAGTAACTGAGTTTGAATGCAAAGGCAGCCAATGGTGAAAATACAGTTGCAGATATCAAGAATTAGTTTATAGTTGAAATTTAGTTCTTGCTATCAAGAATTCGTATTTCTGCATGTGATGATGTCATTGTTGATATCAAGAATTAGCATTATAACTAGTGAAAATTGAATGGTTTATCAATGATTCGTATCCTGGGAATGAATAGAAGTCGAATCAGCTTGACAGGGATGTGTGTTCATGAAAGATGCCTAATATGTTTAAAGAATGGGAATCAACTTTCAGTTACAGAATAAAAATTAAGAAAGTTAACAAACTTAATTTCACAATTCTGACCCTTTTCCCCCCCTCGCAATTCCACAAAACGCACAATTCTGAGGAAAAAATTAAGAATCGCAAAACCAGACTTGATAAAAGAAAAAGTCAGAATCGTGAGATATAAACTCACAGCCAGCAAAGAAATAGATTTATACTCATTAGGAAAATATTAATTATATATATATAAATATATATATATATATATATATATATATATATATATATATACACACACACATACACAGGTGAAACTCGAAAAATGTGAATATCGTGCAAAAGTTATAATTTTGATGATTATGGCTTAAAAAAATCACTTAAAATCAATAAAAAAAAAAGGATTTTTGTTGTCGACCCTCTGAAAAGTACAATCATTCATATAGTTATATATACTAAATATATTAGTTCACCTTTTAATTTAAAGAAATACTGAAATACTTTATTACTGAAATACATGAACTTTTGCCTCGAGTTTCACCTGTACGTTCATATTAGGAAAGCTGGTGTCCGCCATGGAATGAAAAAAGATTTTTTTTGCAATTGTGAGTTTACATCTAAACAAGATTTAAAGAAAGGAAAATCACAATGAACCACCGAGTTAAAATTGTGAGAAATTGTGAGTTACAAAAATGTCTGACATTTCCTCGCAATTTCTAGTTTTATATACATTAATTAGACAAATGTGCATGTGTAATAATAACATTTAAAAGCATTTAATTGCTAAACCATTGCGACAGAATTAAACGGAAGTTAAGGTTAAATTTAAAAATGGTATTAAACCTTAAATTTAAAAAGACAAAACAAACAGACTTTCTATTATTACTGAAGATCCGACGCCAGTTTAGTGACCAGGTTTTAATTGAAACATTGGTGCAACATCATTTCAATGTCACATCACAGCATGACCTGTAATGTTCACAATATTTACAAAACTGCTGTTTAGGACATCTTTAAAAAAAATCAATTGAAACAATAAGAAATTATGGACTTTAACAAACTAAACCTAACAGCCACATCAAAGCTATCAGAAACAAACATAATCAAGTGCACAACATACTTTACAAAGTCGACTGCTGTAAAGTACATACCGGTGAGAAAATATATACTCAGATACGCATCGGGGGAAATATTGACATCAGAGAGGTTCGTAATACCAGTCGGATACCAATGAGAAAATAGCAAGCAAAGACGACAAAATAAAAATGTTCACACACACACACTCGCGCACACACACACACGGAGGAAATGAAAGAATATGATTGGAGAATAGAAATGGAAAGGTAGGGCAACACTGACCACATGAACACAAAATGTATTTTGACCTTGAACAGTAAGACTTTGAACACAGAGCCGCATCATTGCACTGACAACAGAGTCGACTTCACCAGCAGACACACACACACACACACACACACACACACACACCGTCCGTCTGATCATGGGCTTCAATGATTTCACCTCTGGATATTCGCATTGATATAGTTTTCAGATCCACTGCATGAAAATATTGCACTTAATTTTGTAGTGAACGTTCTGTGTAGACCGAATCCGAGGAGAGGAAACGGTCCAAACCTGGAGTTTAATCCGCCCGAGATTAGAGTTCAAAATGCAAACTGATGAGAGACAGCAATGTGCTGTAAAATCCTACACACATCTATAGAGTTTACACACAAAAAATAATTTAATAAGCTCTTCATATTGAGTTAGTGTTACTGGCAGATTACATAAAACCTGTCCTGACCCCAATGGTGACCTCTGACCTCCTCTATTCTATGACCCCACAGTGCTAAACCCTTCTGATGGTGTTTTCATGAAAGCGTCACAGACACAAACTACATTTCGTGAATCTGAATGATATCGGGACTGTCCTGAGTCGGTATGAGATTCACAAATCTGCCTTTCGTTAATGTAGTAATAACACATTGTTACAAGACCGGGTCGCGTTAAAGATGCACTCAGGGATGTTCGGATGTTGGCTGGGCGATATGTACACGTTCTCGGACTGACTGTTACGAAAGCTTGTTTCTGCCACAGAATAAAAAAAAAAAAGTCAAAATTCGTACGTTTTTCTCAGAATTGCGAAATATAAACCTACAATTGCGTTCGAAAAAAAGTCACAACTGCGACTATCTCGCAATCGAAATAGTCAGAATTGTGAAACAAAGAAAATTTTTAGATCTAAACACATTCATAATTGAGTTTATATCTCAGAATTACGAGAATTCTGACTTTATAACTCAGGAATTAAATAAATTAAATTAAATCAATTATAAAATTAAATCAATATAAACTCATAATACTGAGGAAAAAGTCTGAAGTGCGAGTTTACATCTCAAAATGACGACTTTCTTAGAATTACAACTTTATAACTCGCAATTGAAATTCTGAGATATAAACTCGCAACTGCGAGAAAAAAGTCCTGATTGCGAGTTTATATCACAGAATTACAACTATTTCTCTTGTAATTCTGACTTTATAACTCACAAATTAAATTAATTAAGAACTCTGATATAAACTTGCAATTGCGAGAAAAAAGTCAGAATTGCGAGTTTATATAAGAATTGCGAATATCTTGCTATTTACTCATTGATTGCAATTCTGATATGAACTCTCAATTATGACTTTAATCTTAAAATATCTTTAATCTTTAAATATAAGATAGAAATTCATAATTGAGAGTTAATATCAGAATTGTGTGACTATTTATCGCAATTCTAACTTGATTACAACTTTCTCATAATTACGACTTTCTCAAAATTGCCGCAATTGCCAGAAAAAACAATCTCAGAATTATGACTATTAATCTTGCAATTTGGACTTTATATAGGACTTGATCCATTAATACAATCGCTTTCCTTTCTCTTGTTGTCCTATTGTTAGTTTTAATGCTTCGAAGTTCTGAGATATAAACTCGCAACTGCGAGAAAAAAAGTCCTGATTACGAGTTTATTTCCGATTTTATATCTCAGAATCATAACTATTTCTCTTGTAATTCTGATTTTATAACTCACAAATTAAATTAATTAAGAACTCTGAGATATACACTTGCAGTTGCGAGAAAAAAGTCAGAATTGCGAGTTTAAATAAGAATTGCGAATATCTTGCAATTTACGCATTTGAACTAAAGTCAGAAATGAGTGATATAAAGCCAAAATTGAGAGGCAAAGACACAATTGTAAGATATTTTAAGATATAAAGTCATAATTGAGAGTTGAATATCAGAATTGTGACTATTTATCGCAATTCTGACTTTATAACTCAATTACAACTTTCTTAGAATTACGAATTTCTTAAAATTGCCAGAAAAAACTATTTCAGAATTATGACTATTAATCTTGCAATTCGGACTATATTTTAATATATCAAACTAATATATTATTCGTTTCACTGCTTCATGCTCTTCTCAAGTCAATTTGGATAAAAGTGTCTGCTAAATGATTAAATGTAAATGTTACTGAATTGAGAGAAAGTCGCAATTACCTTTTAAATAGTTTTATTCTGTGGCAGAAACAAGCTGATCCCCGTTATCTCGATATCCCAAAGGCGGATGTTTTCGGTTCCTGAAGTTCGTGAGATGAAGTGAGCGTTTCATTACACTACTGATCAGACTGGAGGCCGAGTGGACGATAACATGATCCTCTACTGTTCATTTCTTAACCAGTGAAACGTCAAGGAGAGAGTGCATTATGAAAGGCAAAATAAAGTAAAATAATACTGAAGGGTACGCGTCTACACGTGTATAAGGCTTTACCGAGCATGTGCCGTATTATTGCCAAGATTTACTCAACATGTCAGGGAGTTTCATACATCATGTCTAACACACATTATAAGGCCGACGTTTTCCTCCGTTGGCCATAACAGTATGAAACCAGTGTTTCGTTGAGGTGGTCTAACCCAAACAAATATGACAAACGAAAAAACGAAATAAAGACAGAACGATTCTAAGCGTATGAGTATATTAGTGTTTAGTGCTGGAAGACCTGAACTATATAAAGAAGCCCGCAAGTCAAACTCACAACTAGCCCATTGAGCTGGTGAAGTCCACTCCGACACACACACACACACACACACTCAAAATACAACTCAAACTGAAGCTTAGAAAAGTCTCAGATTGACTCTTATTCATTGTAATGTCACAGGGCCTTATGGGCCGCTGAGACATTTCCGCTTTGTGTTTTGTACAGCTGAAGATAAAGTGTGCATCGAGTTGGCTTGTACATGTCATTATCCTACAGTATTTACACTTCTTCCCATGTTTTTACCATGAAACTTCTGTATTGTCTATATACACATTGAAAACATATCAGAAATATTTGGACTGTCTGTGTTCTTAAATGCAGTATTTTGTTTTTTTTTGTTGTTTTTTTTTTGCTTTTTCGATATTTTTCCTTGTACACTAGAAAAAAATAGTTCTTCAGCAAGTTGTCTTTGCTGCCTTTTCTAATTGGCTGATCCAGCACCTGTCAGTCACAGGGTGTGGGCGGGGCCACGATGAGCGTCTGCTAGTGTGTAGCACCACGATGAGAGAGAGAGACACCGATCGCTGCTGTTATCTGGAGATTTTCCTCCTCTTGGGTTTGGGCAGTTTGACTTGACGATCCTGGTGAACCTGCAGGTTGACAGACAACAGATTGACTCAGCCAATCAGGTGTGAGAATCTCCATGTGATGTGTGTGTGTGTGTGTGTGTCACTCACAGTTCCAGACATCTTGTCCAACTCACTCATGGCCTCATGAATCGCAGCTTCTAGATGATGATTCAGCTTTCCCGCCCTGCGAGAGAGACCGACACGAGACGCTTCAGTACAAGTAAAACGTCTTTAAAGTCACCATAAGTCAAAATATTTTTTTATTGAATATTGCAGTTTATTTTAAATGATTTGTCGGTGCACATCATTATTGTTTTAATAATCTTGAATCGGAATAAGTATCTTGCAGCATCTCTTCTCATCTCTGATGATGTGGGCGTGGCTATAACCTGTCACTCACATGAGATCAGCCAGAATAGAGGGTATGCGCGTGACGTCACCGTCGGCCTGCAGTTCCTCACAGTGAGTGGCAAAAAGACTGAGCGGCTGTATTTGTTATCAGCGTGAATGCGGCGAAAAACACACACAACACATATAAAGTGGGAAAGAGCTTTGCGATTGACTGTACAACTAGATTTGACCAAAAAAAAAAAAAAATCAGAGGTAAATTTTTACAGACTGCTATAGAAGGACGAGCAAATGGCTCGAAACAACTAGACTCCAGTCAGCGAAAGGTGGATTATCATTTTGTGTCAATATGCTGAATTTAGCGGTAAAACCATACCTATATATTTTGTATTGTTATATATATTAACAACTCATCAATTAAATATGTATCATTGCATATTCAACTGTGAGTGCGGAGACCAGTCTACGGCAGAGACACTTTGCGTGAGTGGCATTTACGACAGTGAGGTACCCCACAGTGACTCTAGGGGTCGCTGTTTGACCAAAACGGAATTCCTGCATAGTGTGCCTTTAAGCCTGGAACACACCGAGCTGTTTTTGTGCGCCGGCCGACTGAGTCTTCTCAGTGTGGTCCTCATCAGCTTTTTTCCGGCCGATTCGACATGTTGAATCGGCGTCGGGCCGTCGGTGAAAGAGCAAACTCTGATTGGCTGTTCAGCTTAGTGAACGAGTCAGTGCTTGAGAACAATAGCAAAACAGCCAGGAAAAAAGTCAAAACGATACAGAGAGAAGGCTGTTCTAATGTTACGTCATCTTACACGAGTGTGGACCAAAAAATCTACCGGGAAATTTCGTAAACCACCGGCCCTCGTCGCTGGCACGATTTTAATAGCCGATAGCATTTACAGTTTTACTGATTTAAAAGGAACTTTGTTTGTACTAGTATGCTGGAGTAAAGTTCATAAATGGTCGTTCTTTCCCATAGTAATTTCTAAAACTATGTTGGGAGGACTCTGTTCCTCTAGGGGGGTTCGGGGGCATGCTCCCCCGCTAGAAAATTTTGGACATTTTAAGGTTAAATGCGTCAATCTCGTGCTCTCTGAGAGATCACAATTAAGAGCTTCAACCCATGAACTGCTCATTGAACAAAGAAAAAGTATTAATTTGTACCAGGACAATAAACAGGGCTCAAACATCTTTTTTTAGTTATGAGAGTCTCAATCTGCATTACATTATCAATGGTGTTTTAGGATGCCAAACATTTATTATAATAATGTAATAATGATTTATAATTATTCCTATGACGTACTGTAAAATCCATTTAGCCTATAAATGTACTATGTAAATGAAAATGAGTACTTCAAAAGTATATTTTAACCTACATTACACTATAATATAGGAAAATTAAAATACTTTTGTCCTAATTTCTTCACTTGCAAGAAATAAAACTTTGAGCTTTTATTTAGGAGAAAACACCAGACCATGATGATCGCGTGAGCAAGTAATCACGCAGCACAAACTGGATGCTATTCTAATGTCAGTTATTATAATGGCGCAACGCCATATCATGGTTTCAATTTTAGTTTGTTGGCAAAATATAACGCTAGAGATCTTAATGTTAGGTTTTACATTTCACATCTTTACATATGTGTTGGGAAAAGGGAAAAGAGAGAGTTCGGCAAAAGGCGGATTCGAACTCGCGTTCAGCGCATTAAAAGCTGCTTTCAAGCACTTCACGCCCTACGACCTACACTACTGAAGCTGTTTCAAAACGGGCGTCTTTTTGCTGTAAAGAAGACAGGCACTAGTGCAAATATATGCTCTGTTATAGAAAATGTAAAAAAAAAATTAAAAAAATGTTTTCTTCCCTTAGCTTGGGCCCCAAGTGCACATGGCGAACTTTCAATAAATACATTTTATCAGACCGGTGTTCTGTCGATCTGTCCTACCTTGTCAGATTTTCCTACCGTAGCGCAAAATTATAGCCATATCTATCGGTTCTTCCTACCTCGTAAAATCCTACTGAGCATTTCTGCTTCGCGTCTGTGACTAAGTTACATAAAATATTTCTGTGTAACTTTGCCGAATTTTCTTATTAGGCCATGTTACGGTGATTTTACAGTGCAAAGTAACGTTACCTCTTCAGATTGTCCTATGAAATAAACGATAGGATGATTTTACGTTGCAAAATGCCTCATCAGATTGTCCTACCAGTATGAAATAAACGAGTAGAATGATTTTACGTTAATGTTTTCATGAAAAAAATGCTAATATGAATTTGCTTTGTATGAATGTGAGAGTAAACAGTTCTCATTACTGCTATATATCTTTGTATAGTAATAATTGACAAAAATAGTGAAAAACTTACCTCAGATGAAGAAGATCTCGCGCAAGTAGTAAAATATTATGGGCGTGTTGTTCAGCGTGACAAAAATGACGTATTATTGATGTGCGCATGCGCAGTAAGCCTTGGTAGGACAATCTGACGGGTAGGATGGAATGTCAGAACACCGGCCCTCGCGGCCTCGAAACGTAACCGGCCCACCGGGAAAACGGCTCTCCCGACTGCCACTCCGCTACTGGTTCTAGCTGGCAGCTGGGGTGGTGATGGCGCAGTGGATTAGACACATGCCTTTGGTGTGAGAGACCCGGGTTCGAATCCACTGTGAGACACCAATGTGTCCCTGAGCAAGACACTCAACCCCTAGTTGCTCCAGAGACATGCGACCTCTGACATATATAGCAATTGTAAGTCGCTTTGGATAAAAGTGTCAGCTAAATTAATAAATGTAAATGTAAAATGCAGTCGCCTGTAGTTCTCTCGGTGTGTTCAAGTGCAGCTTCACCCCGACCCGAGGCGACAACACAGTCGGCTTTCATCAGCGCTACTTCGCTAGTGTCGGCTTGGTGTGTTCCAGCCGTCGGACACAACATTAAACATTCTCACTTGTAGATGTGTACCAGCGTGTGAGGGGTTTAGGATCCCAATGTTACAGAGACACAACACTTACTTTCTGTTTTTTTTGCTGGCTCGGTCCAGCACCTGAAGGTCTTGTGTTAGTGTTTTCAGCTGCTCTGGCTCCACCTGAGAAGAGTTCACACAGCAGGAGATCGGTCACTGCAACTCCACATACACATCTTTATAGTAGTACAAATTTACTACCCAACATTTGAAACTTGATGGCTTTGGATGGCTGTGTTTCTGTAAATTTAACTTATGCGCACAGTTGGAATATCGCATAAAACATGTGCGAAAAAAGCAGCGTTTCCATCTCGTGTGTTCAAGAGAACAAAATCATCACTTCCTGGGAAATTGGCGCAAATTATCAGAAATAAAACAAAGTTTCTGCAATCTTTCTCCCTACATCATAAACGAGTGTGTGTCGAGCGTCAGACGAAACACAGTAAACCTTGTCGTGTTCGGGAACACACTCGTGTGTGTGAGACGCTTCTGGAGGGAATTACACCCAATCATTCTGATCACACACACTTTCAGAAACACCAAACCAACATTAGAGACGCCGCGATGCCATTGGTCCACTGGTTACTATAGTTATCCAATCACAGCCTAAAGGGAAAGTCACACGAGATTATTGTTGCACATCAAAGGATTTATTCAGTAAATGTGTTTCCGGCGCATCATTTATGAGATTGGATTGGCACGAGGCATTTATTCTGTAAATGTGTTTTCATTGTAGTTTATGCACGTCTTATCAGATAAAAAAATGGATGGATATGTAGCTACTGACAGGATTGATTCATCATCAATTCTCAACTTGAAAAAACACCCTCTGAAAGAAATCTCACTGAGATGTTCAATGAAACCGGAAATGAAATTTTCTTGCTCTACAGAAAAATGGTGATGTTTCCTTAAAGAGCCCCTATCGTAGCATTTGAAATGTTCCTATTTTTGTTTTAGGAGTTCCCAAAAACAGTTTAACATGCATGCAAGGATAAAAAACACTTTATTTGTCTTATAATATGCATTTATTTTTAACTGATTTGCTCACCAACTCTCAAATGATTCGTACAACGACTCATTTTTCCTAATCGGCGGTGATTGGTCAGACGACAGACCCAGTCAGTTATTGTTTGTTAGCATAACGCATAAACATATTGATAAAGCACTGCAGTACTACAAGACGCTCTATTCTTTACGACAACTCCAATAACAGCGACAAACATTTCACATATATATAAAAAAAATTGACATTGGAGACCTAGAAGCTGCGCTGAGCGTAACTTGCGCACACACATACTGCCTCGCGCCCCGACGCAACAAAACCATTCAAAACCCATAAAAGCAACAATTATTAATAATACTTACAGGTTGTGATTCGAAGGAGGAAGCTGATCCATATACACTGGGTAAGTAAGTTACTGAGCCGTCCTTCAGGAAACACCGCTTGCGAATCCACATTTGAATTCATTCAAGTTTTTGAACTAACGTTATTCGTCATTAAAATGATGAGAACACAATCGGGCTATACTGTTGTGGTATCGTTGCAAATATGAACTCTAACCACCGATTCTTCACATGCTCGTCCCTGGTAAATGAAAACAAAGTGGCTGAACTATCTTTGCATTGTAGAACACAGCGTCTTCTCCACATGATGCTATGATGAAGTGTTTGAGTGTGTAGACTTCAACTTTACACTTCCGTCTGCAGTATGTATTTACGTCACTACGAACTAGCTAATGACTCGTTTCAAAAACAATTCATTTCATAGACTGACTCAGAGTCGACTCTCACTTTTGAAAGACAATAACTTTATATACGGTGCACTTTCAGATATAAATCTTTGCAGGATGTTTTCATTCCCTTAGAGCTATAGTCCACACCACATGAACGGTCATTTTCAAAAATCCATGATAGGGGCTCTTTAACATTTCCACACCTTCAAAGGGATATAAACCGGACTGGGTACTCTTACCTTGGCCTGTTCAGACAGTTGCATGCTGGGATTGTGTCCATGCTCCTCCCTCATCAGCTTGTTAGGCCAGGCGGGGAAGCCTTTAATGGGCCAGACCAGTTCCCCCACGTGTAAGGCCCGGGGCCTGTAGTGCATCAGATCAGCCGAGGGCGAGTCGGGGTGCCGGAGCTCCTCCTCGCTGCTGAGACTCTTGGTGTCCGAGGGGCTTGGCGCACAGTGTCCGTTAAAGTGCCCGTTGAAGTGAGCGTAGTCTTTGAGCAGCGGCCCTTCGAGGCTCGTGGAGGAACCGGGCGACTGGTCATCATCGTATCCGCCGCGAGCCATCGTGCCGTTCACCTGCTCTCTCGCGCGCTGGTTAAACCGTTCGTGGGGTTCGTGAGTCTCCGTCGGACAGTCCACGATGGGTTTCCTCTCGGATTTGCTGTGCACGTGTGTGGAGCACTCCAGGAACTCCTCGCCTCTCCAGTGCGCGTGATTGGACTCGTCCCAGTGTGGGCGGGGCGAGCGGAAATACTCGTGCGCGTCCGAGCCGTCGGGCGTGTTCTTCTCGCGCGTGTGGTTGTGCTGCAGCCGGTTGCGCTGGATGTGGGAGAGCGTCTCGTTAGCCTCGGAGCTGCGCGGCGCGTGGATGACGGCGTTGACGGCGTGAGGTAGGCTGAGCGGCTGGCCGATGGAGGCGGTGAAGGCACTCATGGCGCTGAGCGCGGGGACGGGGCTCGCCTGCGTGCTGACGCTCATGCCGGTGGTGATGGTCACGTGCATGCCTTTGCCGGCGGCGTCCACCACCGCTCTGTAGATCGCGTCCACCGACTCCACCGATCCTCCCGCCATGGAAGCGTCGTGACCCTGCAGCTTCTGCTCTCGGTACATGCCCGCGTCTCCAGAGTGAGATGTCATTCCTGGCTGGGCGCCGTCAGGCATGCACCCCTGAACAAACGGCAAAAACATGTCACTTAGGCTACGTTTACACCACAGACTGTTCAAAAAGATGGACGACGCCCACATTGGGGAAAAGGGAAGCCGCTAAAGTCCTAATATGGCACTGACATCTTGCGTTGATTTGGGACCTGCTTCTGTCTGACGTTTTCTGTCATTTTAGGTAGTTTTAAAATCATGCTGATGTACGTTTAAGTGTTCGGTTTTTTTAAAATAAGTTTGGTCTTAGTTAAGGCCGAAATTCGCATCCGAAATTTTCGCACGTAAAAAAAACAAAACAAAAAAAATTCGACCTCATGTTATGTCAATCACGCTTGCACAACGCGTCCGAAACTTTCGTCCGTCAAAAAAAATTTTGGATCGGGTTCGATTTTTTTGCGTTTTTCGCATCCACAGCCAGCATTTTGAGAGGTTTTTTGACAATTCAGGGCCGGGGGGGAGCTCGTTTACTGTCTATGGAGCTCGTTCTGCACATCATTGCACATATGCGTAGTGCTTTCATTTTTAGTTTTCAAATGGATCAAGTGTTTGTTCTCTTCTCTCGATTGGATTATGAAAGGAATAACCTCGCCTTTCAATCAGATTGAAATTTCGGAACGATTAATGTGTGATTGAGCAGCCAATTCGATAACTAATGTATTATTTGGGTACAATATATAACCTGTAGCCTATACAGCTGTTCTGTCTGCCCAGCGCTTCCACACACGCGTGTGTGTGTGTGTGTGTGTCCATACCTTATACATACTGACAGTCTCTGTTCAGAATCGATTGGTTCACGGAAATTGGTGGTCTTGTTTTTAAAATGTGGCTCCAGAATCGCAAGCAAAGCATCAAACTGTTTCACTGACATTCTGAGGTAAATTTTGAATCGCTCGGGATAAATTCGCAACTCATTATTAAGGAGGTGCTTCCTCTCGGCACAAATTCAGGATTGGTTGGACGCAATATTTTCTCTTTCTTTTCTTTTCAATAAGAGAGAGGACAACAAAATCATCCTCACTGCTTGACGAATCCATTTTGTATTTTTGCGTTTTTCCCCGCAATTGGTTTAATAAATACGCATCGGACTCAGTGTGCAAGGTTTCTGTGCGTGACGAATTTTAAGACTGACGAACACGAAAAAACGCATACGAAAACGTACTCACTGTGCAATGGCCTTTATTTGATGCCCAGACTGATCTCATGAAGTAGTGTGTGTATGACACGCCAATTGGTATTTCCATTTTTGGCGTGCTATCAACACGCATAATCGCTTTTCAGCGTGTTTATGAACGGCGTTAACTTAACGTTATTTCTGTATATATAAATATACATCAACCCCGTCCCTAAACCTAACGGTCACTGGGGTTAATAGCAATTATGACTTTTCCATTACCATCCTAGGAAAAAAAACTAAATATCGCTCCCCAGATGTAGATCTATATTTGGCTTCGTTTCGCTCAGACATTTGACGGCGTGTACACACACGCGGAATCACTCGTTCATTAATGGCGTAGACATACACGCGGATAGCTCAAAATGCGTAGAGATAACATGTATGTTTACGCAAGTCATGATGTCATGTTGCGATGCCAGAGTTTCTGCTAGAAAAAAATGGTGGCTTTGACCGGCAGAGTTTTCGTTTTACGGACATTTTGCTAATATGCCGGTCAAATATCGCCTCTTCATTAGTCAAGTTGAGGAAAACTGGAGGCAGGCTGAGTCACTTAAAAAATTAAATAATCAGGCTGTATAGAACGCAACATGTTTATTAGCCTAACTTTCAAACAGACGGAAAAAAACATGGACGTCCGATTTTTTTAAGCTTCTTTTTTTTACCACACACACGTTCCTGCAGACATTTTTCCGAGCAAGCAAAATAAAGCAAAAAAAGCAAAACGTACTGTGTGCATGCATATGCACAATAATGCAATATGCACAATAATCGGATTATGACTGACAGTCTGAACGTAGCCTTAGAGCATGCTAGCTATGTGTGCATTCTGATGATGTGAGTCACCTGATAATCCTGGTACCGGCAAGGCAAGCTGTTGGAGTTGGGAACGTTATTGTCCGTGAAAGGAGCTGTTGCGAAGGAATGCCCCTGGTTGGGATATGTGGAGACCCCGTGCATGCCCTGCAGTGATGGGTGCAGCTGCTGCTGATGGTGTTGGTGATGGTGTTGATATATGTGCCCACCGGCGGCCATGACACCACCCATCTGAGGAGAGTTTCCTATACTGCAGCTCAGCGATGCAGGGTCACCTGTGGACAAAGCAGGAGACAGTCACCACATATTACTATACTCCATTAACTTAGTAAATAGTAAATAAAATATGCAAAAGTTGGAGGAACTAAAAATATATTAACTTGGAAAAACAATAAATTGATTGGCAGCCCTGGTTACGCATGCACACTGTTTGAAAAGTACTAGTGTGAAAGAAGCAGTGACTGATAGATGTGTAACGAGACCCTCATGTCACGATTCGATATATATCACGAAACTGAACTCACGATACCATATTATCGCGATACTCCAAATATGATAAAAGGTTAACAAAGAATGTACTATTCATTAAATGCTAAATTTGGTATTATTGTGTGTGTAAGTGAATAGTTTTGGACTTGGTGCTGAAACCCAGTGCAGGACAATAGAGACACCACAATAACAATATTCATGATTCTAAAGCTGAAAATACAGAATAAAAAATGCTTTACTCTTTCATGGACTATATAATTAAAATAAATGTAGGACACTTTTGACTGACAACAATATATTTGGCATTATCTGTACCCACAAATATCCCTCACTGCATTATTGTACATTATATTCAACATTATATAGTAGTTTATAGGGCTGTCAAACGATCAATCGTGATTAATCGCATCCAAAATAAAAGTTTGTGTTAATATAATATATGCGATTGAATTGTGTATCATTATTTTCATATATATATATATATATATGAAGAGTTCAGATGCAAAAGCCTCTAAGTGCCATTTGAAATTTTCTACTAGAATGATCATTTTTATCAAGCTTGTATATTTAAGTTCAGTGATTTCACTTAAATGGCAATGATAATTACCTATTAATTGTTATTTAAGTGAAATTACTGAACTTAAATATACAAGTTTGATAAAAATCATCATTAAAGAAGAATATTTCAAATGGCATTTAATCAAACTTGTATATTTAAGTTCAGTAATTTCACTTAAATAACAATTAATAGGTAATTATCATTGCCATTTAAGTGAAATTACTGAACTTAAATATACAAGCTTGATAAAAATAATCATTCTAGAAGAAAATTTCAAATGGCACTTAGAGGCTTTTGCATCTGAACTCTTCATATATATATATATATATATATATATATATATACACACACATATACACACATGCTTGTATATATTTAATTCACCCCAAAAATATCCCATAATGTTCTCATAAGGCTTAACCCATTCTAATTGTATAGGACTTTCTTCTTTAAGAGTTATATAAAAATTCACCACTTTGACTTTGGGCTTCAAAAACGCTCTTCAGAAACACTACGGGTGACGTCACACACACTCCGTCCATATTTCTTTACAGTCTATGGCTAAAACTGGTGTATATTCAACATGATACACACATCCCACCCACAGAAATTGTCAGAAATGCATATGTATCCACTGTTCATTAGGGGTGCAACGGTACAGATAGCCCACGGTACGGTCCGTACCTCGGTTTTTGGGCCACGGTCTCGGTTTGGTTTCGGTACATGTTTTGTGCAGAAAGAGACTGCTATTTCATCCCAAAACTATGTTTTATTTTTCTTATATGCATTAACATAATGTCACAGTAGGAAGAACATCAATGTGTATGAAATAAATTAACACTCTAGTCTGTACTGAACAGAAGTAATACAACCTCTTCAACTACCACTTATAAAATACAAAATGTAAACAAACACACTTTAGAATATTCAAGTGGGTCCCAATTCCAAACCTTGATAACTGGTAAAGTGATCAATGTGAAAGAAAAAGTGCACTTTTACCTTTAACAAACATAAATTAGCTTGTGGTTTGAATAAAAAGAGCCGAGCAAAATAATATAATTAAAAAAAACTTCATTCAGGATACAAAGTGCAATGTTATTTACTCATCCACTATTGAGAGATTCTTGTGCAAAAAGATACTGCAGTCAAACGTTTGACTGGGTTTGCGTTATGCATCCACTAGATGTGCTGGGAATGTAGCGAGTGCGCGGAGCCGGAGGTGAGGCGTTTATTTAGTAAGCGTGAGCGCGCTGGGGCGGGCACAACGTACATTCGCAGCCTGACTCATATATTCAATGTGCGGCGGCTCGCTGCAGCAACGGCTCGCTGTTTTGAATGAGACGACCCGGTACTGTGAACGGGGAGCGGTTTTTTGAACATCTGTGACGCGCGAGCAGCGCCGTGTGACAAAGCGGGCATATGCTGGACACGAGCGCGAGTTCGCGGGCGAATTTAATAACGCGGAGCGTTGTTAACTAATTCCATAAGGCGATCCGGATTATAAGGCACACTGTCGTTTTTTGAGAAGATTAAAGGCTTTTAAGTGCACCTTATAGTGCGGAAAATACGGGAAAAGGATCAGCACGAACTCTATTGCAAAACCGAAGTCCCGCGGGACACGAGGGTAGATTGTCCCGTGCAGGGCTGACCGAACGGTCCGGGATTTTACCGTGTACCGTTGCATCCCTACTGTTCATCACACACTTTACAGGACTCCATTAATGAACAGGCAGTCATTGAATAATTCACATGATCTATCTAATAAAAATACAAGCCTCGTGTTTCTGCTTTGGGCTCCAACCCTCATCAAACACACCTGAACAAGCTAATCGAGGCCTTCGGGAGGACCAGAAAGCTAATCTGCAAATGCAATGTTCGTCTTTTAAAAAACCTGAGGGACAAATATTTGAAGTTTAGTAAAAGCGACATGTTTATCGCAAGTGCATGCGTAGTTTGCGGAGCGACAGAACGGCGTGTAAACCCTGAGCTGGCTGATGTGATGTCATGCACATTATTGTGCTGGTTTTAAAGGTTTCACGACCTCCTCCAATACATTCACAGCACATGGAGTGAGATTAAATGCATGTGCTGAATAACGGTCGTGTTGCATAATGAATGCGGTGTGTGGTGTCACAGAATGACGGCCCTGTGCGGACAGTGTGTATGATCTACTGGGGAGGTTGCCATGGAGACAGCAGTGCGATGATTGGTAGTGGTATGATTCCCACACACACACACACATGACTGAACAGGTCAGGGAGGAAGATGTGTGCATTATAACAGGAGTATTTGTAAGTGCAGGTGCTCATGCTAACACTGGATCTGTGCTGTTACATGCATGCATTGAGGATAAACCTTCCTTTTTGATGTCTTTTAGTCCAACAAATCTTTGAATTTGGATTTGCAAGTGTCCCTATAGTGACTGTTTATGAATCATAACCTCACCTGCCTGACAGTCATCTTCCCTCCAATGTAAGATTGAGTTAATGAACAACATCGGACCAAAAGACTCTGCTTCATATCGACCGAAACCGCTCGAATGTTTCACGACACTTGATCACTTCTTGATCAGATAATAAGAAAGCTGGGATTAGATTATCCCGCTTATGATTTAAGTGAAATTAAATAAATCACAAAAAAGGCCCTTTTTCTCCCTCATTTAGTGCAATTGTAAGAACAAACATGGTGGCCTTATGAATTTAAGCAGTCATTTAGCAGATGATTTTATTATTTAGAAACAAACTTTGTATTGAATATTGTCACTTCTTAAAAGTGTTTGTTAGAGACAACACAAAAGCGGAGTGACTATATTCTCTATATCACACAGCTCCAGAAACTCACTAAGACTACATTATAAAAAAACACAAATATTCATCATATAGCTTGTATGTAGGGTCTTAATTGCAATATTGAATTCAGCAGGGCTCAACGCAATGATTTATCATCTATGTCTACATGCCCCACAAAAAAATAAAATAAAATAAAAACGGTTATTGTTTTTTTAAAATAATATTTTTTTTTTTGGTGACCTCAATCCCTCACCCTCATGTCGTTTCAAATCCAAAAGACTTTCGTTCTTTCGATTTCGAAACACAAATAAAAGATATTTTTTATTTCTGTCCCTCCCAGAAGTCCGTTCACCCAAAACATCACAGCGTTCATAAAAAGGTGTTAAAATAAATCCATATGATTGGAGCGGTTTAATCTTCTAAAGTGATGCGACAAATAAAGCGATCGAGTCTCTCCAGAAGACTTGGATTAAACCACTCGATTCATGGATTTATGAACGTTAGTTTTGGGTGAACGGACTTTCAAAGGAGGGAGAGAAACTGCTGAGATTTCATTAGAAACATCTTCATTTCTATTCTGAAAATGAACAAAAGTCTTTTGGATTGGGAACAACATGAGGGTGAGCAAATGATGACAGAATTAAACATTTTGGAGTTTCATTTTCAAGTCACATTGGCCAGAGTTTCCCCTGCGTCATCCATCAAGATGATAGACAGGTTCGCTCCATGAGCTTATTGTGGCTTGTACAGTGTCACGACATAAACACTATACAAAAGTTATAATGCAGTTAGTAGGATAAAAGGCTTGCAATGCATTGAGAAGAGCAATTACCTAAACATCATAAGATGAGGAGGTGCTCTTTTGGTTGAACTAATGCGCTCACTCACTCACAGAATCAGACACTCCTGGTTCCCACGGCTCGGTTAACGTCAAATTCAAGGACCTTTTAAGGACCCTCCAGGTCCAATACCGTCAAATTCAAGGACTTAAATAATATGGGGACACATTTCAAGTGAGAGCCAGCTTACATCGTTCCAGCCTATTTTTGCAATGTCACGGTGCATCTGTGAAATGTTGAGGTACCATCGTAATAGTTTCGTGCACGTGTGAAAGTCACGGCAACGTACAACACAAAGCACCTCGTGTGGGAAACACTTAACGCAACGCGTAAATGAGTCTTACTAACGTAAATCAAGCAAGTAGAGCCCGACCGATAAAGGATTTAAGGCCGATACCGATACAAATACTTTTTGGTTTTAAAATCCGATATATCGGCCGATATTTAAAAAAAAAAATATATATATATATATATTTCAGAAACGCACAACAAAACATTAACAGATTTCCCTAACATTAGTTATTTGTAGTTATATATGAGTTAACTAAAATAATATAATAATACATTTTAAAAAGAAGAGCAGACTGATGATAGTGGCATTAGCTAGCCTTATGTTTAGGTAAAGAGTTATACAACCAGAGGGGCGTAAGTGACATTTTGGGCGAATATGAGTTCTTTATATCAAAATAAACGTCTTGATGAGCTCTATCCAATGGTGCCAAAATACCTATCGGAGATCAAACTGTATTGAATAAAGCAACAAAAAGGCGCATCTGACGTATTTGACTTTTTGTTTTTTTGAAAATGTTTTAGAACTTGTTCATTGTGTTAATATGGCATACATTTTTTACTTAAATACTCATTTCATGCAAGTATGCCTTTGGTTGCAATGTTTGTTATTTAAGGTTAATAATACAGGTGATTGAAGTGTGGACAAAATTTTGTTTTGTCTCTCCTGTAAAGTTTGTTAAAAGCCACTTACGCCCTTCTGGCTCCAAGCCCAAGTTCAAGAAAAATTACAGACTTAAAAATAGACTCAAAAAAGTACAAGTACACGAAAAAACTACTTAATTACAGTAACGTGAGTAGTTGTAATTCGTTACTTCCACCTCTGAGTGATTGGCGTGTTCACATTTGCCTAAACGAACTGAACCAAGGGAGAAAACGCTCCTAGTTCTGAAACAAATGCTCAGGTGTGGAAGCTACGGAGGCGTATTGCATTCACTTGAAAAAAAAAAAATCTACTCTGTTTTTCTGAATTAACGAGTTAATTTTTCATGAGAAAAAAAATTTGCTCTGTTTTTCTGAATTAATGAGTTAATTTTTCATGAGAAAAAAAAATATTTTGCTCTGTTTTTCTGAATTAACGAGTTAATTTTTCATGGAATTTTTTTTTTGCTCTGTTTTTCTGAATTAACGAGTTAATTCAGAAAAAACTGAGCAAAAACTTTTTTTCTCACGAAAAATTAACTCATTGATTCAGAAAAACAGAGAAAAAAATATTTTCTCATGAAAAATTAACTCATTAATTCAGAAAAACAGAGAAAAAAAAATTTTCTCATGAAAAATTAACTCGTTAATTCAGAAAAACAGAGCAAAAAAATTTTTTCTCATGAAAAATTAACTCATTAATTCAGAAAAACAGAGAAAAATTTGTTTTTCTCATGAAAAATTAACTCATTAATTCAGAAATATAGAGCAATTTTTTTTTCTCATGAAAAATTAACTCATTAATTCAGAAAAACAGGGTAGATTTTTTTTCTTCAAGTGAATGCAATACGCCTCCATAGGAAGCACCTTTGATTGATTGATTGATTGAAAATGTATTAATCCCGGTAGGGAAACTAGTTTGCCACCAACCGTACAACCATAAACACAGTACACAACTAACGGACAAATAAATAAATAAATATGCATTAAAAGAATGAAAAAAACCTGATTATAAGACACAACTAAAAGAAATATTCAATTTCACAGTGCACTATTAAACACTAACACTATCAAAGGCCTGGATGTCACTCAATAATTAACATCACCATATGAGATTTCTCAATTTTCTATTACGGTTCTCATGCTGCGTTCACGTGCTATAGAAAAAATAGGATATTTTCCACTTGTGAATTGGTAATTAACAGTGTGTTGCGTTCAAGTGCTTTTGTTGTCGTAATGTGGTAAAAAGATGGAGATCCAGACCTGTTATTTAGCTAAAACTGTTTTAGATTGCTTAAGTCATCTGCTACAGCAAGAAAATGATTTATCAAAACTCAAAAGGTAAATAATATGCTATATATTTTCTAGATCATGAATACATATATTATTTTACCATTCACGAGTCTCGCGGTGCTCTCCGCCATTTTGAAAAGTTCAAAGGTTATCTCATCTCGGCAACTCGTCCATCAAAATATTAGGAGTTGCCCAGTGGTAAATACCACATGAGGGGGTGTTCATGTGCATTTTCCACGTCGGCTTTTGGTATTTACCATAATTAGCATAGCACATGAACGCAGCATCAATACCAATGCAAAGGTAGCAGCATGCAAACTAGGGGTGGGTGAGAATTTGGTGCAACAAAACATCACTGCTGGACGTTCTCCTTACCTGTGTCAGTCATGGGTTGTGAGCAGCAGGAGTCACTGCCGCTGGGTAGCATACAGCCAACGTTTGGCTGAACGCGCTGCTGAAAGTGAGCGCTCGCGTGTCCCATCACGTGGTTCCCGAGAGGAACTTGTCCGCTTTGGTTCACGGGTCCACAGTTTCCCATCTGGTTGACCCTGCCCGAATACTGGCCCTGGGTCTCCATCATGGCGTCGGCAGGGCCGTGCAGTCGCTGCTGAACCTGCGCGTTCTGAGAGGTCACGACCCCCTCGGGGAAGTGCACGCGCCCCGGACTCACCAGCCCCGGGTTTCGGCTCCCCCTGCCCATGTGCGAGCTGTGGTTGCTCAGAGACTGGAGCAGCTGAGCCATCGACGTGTTGGATGGCATTCGAGAGGTTTTCCGCATCTGCTCGGCGGATGGCGTTCTCATGCCGGTCATGTTGAAGAAATTCTCGTGGTTGGTCGCGTTCGGGGGATGTTTACGCTTGCGGAGAGGGTCGCGTTGCTGTGCCATTAGCTTATCTCGAAGCGCCGCGCGCCCACTCTGGGCTTCGCTAGGTATAACCATCCCAGGGTTTGGTGGCAACATGTGTGTTTCAACGGCTCTGTTGGCTTCACCCGCGCTGAGAGGGCACGTGCCACCGGCTCCTCCGATCTTGTTTTGATTTGCTAGCTGTGCTTTGGCGGCGGCTGAGAGGAGACTGCTGGCGGGGAACGAGGCAGCGTTGTGTTGGTTAAGGATCTGGTTCAGTGGCATTCCCAAAAGGCCCGGGTGCTCCTTTTCCTTCGAGGGGGGGTACATGGGGTTGTGCTGACTGCTCATCCCTGCCAGCAACTGGGTTGGGATTTCTTTGTACTGGTGGATACCGTCCGGTTTGCCAGATGGGCTTGAAGGCAGAGCCGGTCGCGGGGAACCCATCGAGGACCGCGGCGAGCGTGGCGGGACCTTTATCGTGCCGCACGGGGGAACGGCGAAGCTTCCTTGCTCGGATGAGGTCGACGAGGAACGGGAACGTTGTGGAGACGCTTCGATCCGGCTCAAAGCCGGCCCGGACATGTGCACGGGAGAAGTGACGGGCGACGGGGAGATCGATGTGGCTGTGCCGTGCGAATTCCTCGTCATGTGACCGACCGGTTTCACCGTGGGTAAAGGCAGGTTGCTCGGCAATGGGACGATTGCAGGAGGGATGTTTACATTCATCATTGGTACCTGAGAGTGGGCGTTGGGTTGGAAAGTGGGATTGGGTTTACTAGGGATGGGATCCAGGATGCCAAGAGGGTCTTTTTCGGAGCTCACTTGTTTATTCTGCAGGGAACAGGGAGCAGACGATTACCATTAGTCCATACTGTATATGAATGATACATGTGATTGGCCAGTTTGTTGTGATTGTTTCAGTTCATCATTGAATTGAATAAACTAATATTTAAAGGTAGAGCGCGACCGATAAAGGCTGATACCGATACAAATATTTGTTGGTTTTAAAATCCGATATATGTGCCGATATTTTATTCTACTGTTTATTTCAGAAACGAGGAACAAAACTATAACGGATTTCCCTAACATTAGTTATTTGTAGTTATTTATGAGTTTTAACTAAAATAATATGATAATGCTTTTTAAAAAGAAACTTGTTTCTTTTATTGTCACAACAGAGCAGACTGATGATAGTGGCATTAGCTAGCTTTGTGGTTAGCTAGTCTATGATGAGCCAAAATTTAGCAATGGATAACGTCATACTGCAAATTGTAAAACATACATTTTCAATATAACAGGCCGAGGAGAGATGATGCGTCTCATTGCTATAACTGTCACGCGATATTAAAGAAATACTTCAGTCACATCGTCAAGAGTTAAAAGGACAGTCAGTCGACTACACGGTAACAACGTAACGTAACTCGTGACCAACTCAACGAGTGCTGCCAACAAGGACGGTGCAGAGTGCCCTCTGGTGGAAAAACTAAATAACTCCAAACCTCATGACATGGTTCAAGCGTGTTTCGTCCGTTTTTAGTTTATTTGTGAAATATTCATTTATCGGCCTTTATAACTGTCGATACCGATAGTTTGTAACGTGCCTAATATCGGCCTGCCGATATATCGGTCTGGCTCCATTTAAAAGGTGTTAGCGTAGCTAACAATAAATATTTTTTTCTATGCATGTCATGTGCAGTAATCTCTGTAATTTCTTGTGTGTATTTGTTATTTTTTGCACCCCGCGGCTGCCGTAGAACTACGCCGTCGATTTTTTAACGACGCTGTACTAAGTGCAAACACTGCGTAGTTACGCCAAATTAAAAAATGAAAACAATGTGTGAGAGGTTATTTTTGCTTAAGCAGAGCACTAATCTTTTTAAACTGAAGCTAATAAAAAAAATTCAGAGCACCATATCACAAAATAGACTATCTTTTTAATTGAGAATGCTCGAAGCCGTGAATTAAACACCAAGGTCATCGTGGATGTTTTTGCCAAAAGAAAGGCCTGGAAAATCCAACTAAAATTAGTGAGTGTTAATTTGTGCGTTTACATTTCTGGCTGCTGTGTCAAGATCGTTTGTATGCATGCAGTAGTTTATCCCTAAAACTGTATTCTGGACAAATGTGGGCAAAATAGTTTTGATTTATTTAAAAAAAAATGGGCACCCATAGAAATGAATGGGAAAAACTGTAATTTAGAGCATCCTAAAATAAGCCAAAATAAGACACCAGCTGACAGCAAAGTCACTTCATCTTTAGGTTTTAGCTCTAAGAACTTATTGGAATGATAACTAAACAAATAAAATAAAAAAACACCATAAATGGATAGACAAAACTTTATCAAAGACAGTGATATAACATTTATAATAAATAAAAATTAGGATCACACCTGAGCCCTCTGTGCCCACATTTGTCCACACTTACAAGATTAAGGGCATAAAGTGAATACGGTTTGAGGGCCACTATTGACACTGGCTGAGCCTTGGTTATGTTAGACTATTTTGCTATTAATCCATTCTGGTTGTGAAAAGTTGTTGGGTAGTGTGTTTTTTATGGTATGGTTTGGTATGATATTAATTGTATTTTTTTTTTTTGCTACAGTGAACATCTATAAATGTCTCTTCGATGTACTTGGAGGGCGGGGTTAGGGGGCCAACACACTTTTTTTTTTTGCATACCGGCCCGGGATTGACACTGGTGTTAACTGTAATCTTTTGCAGCAAAATGATAACTTACAAAAGGAATATATTAAATCACAATTATTTAATGAATGAAGCACACACAAAAAAAAAGTCTTAAAACTGGCAATTAATCAGCATAACCGCAATAATTTTTTAGACAATTAATGGTCAGCCAAATTTCCCAAGAGGCAGGAGGGTGTTTCTCGGAGCTCACCTGTTTGTTCTGCAGGGAACAGGGAGCCGACGGAGCCTTGTGGTGAAACACCGTTCTGCTCGAGTCCATGCCGGGCGGGTAGTTGCACATGGGCTTTTTCATAACGGGGCTCTTGTTTGGGACTGGCGGCGACAGAGGCATGTTAGTCCTTCCAGCCATTACGCATGATGACTGCGTGACGGGCGAGCCGTGCATCATGACCCCGGGAGAAGACAAAGGGATTCGGCTGTTGCTGTGGATTGCACTTGGACTACCGGTTCCCTGGAAGCCGCAGGGGTTGCTCCGCAAATACGCGTCGGGACTGCCAATAGCGTCTGTTCTTGGGGACAGAGAACCGTCCCCGAAGGCTTGCGAAGGAGGGCTCAGCATGACTCTGCGGTACGGAGACTTGGGCCCCGGGTCCCCGCTGGCCAGTCTCTGTCGGGAGAACGGAGGGAAAGCGTCCTGCGGGACACAGCGATCCGGAGAGAAGTGCCGCTGCCCCGCCGCCATCATCACCTTATACGGGATCTTACATTCGGGCTGGCCCTCGTGGGTTTTATTCCTTATTGCTCGAGGCTGTGCGGTCGAGGTCATGGAGGTCACACCTGCAGGAAGACACAGAGTCGCTGTCAATCATTTAGTGTGCAACTGTTTACTACCGGGTGAGGCTATATGAACCCCTAGGAGTTTGTGCAAGATAATACAGGGTGAAACTCGAAAAGTTAGAATATCGTGCAAAAGTTCAACTTAAAAGGTGAAACTAATATTTTATATAGACTCATTACATGCAAAGTGAGATATTTCAGGCCTTTATTTGTTATATTTTTGATTATGGCTTAGAGCTTATGAAAGTCAAAATTAGAATATTGTGAAAAGGTTTTCATAAGCTGTAAGCCACGATCATCAAAATTATTATTATTGATATAATAAATATCATTTATTTCAGTAATTCACCTTTTAAGTTGAATTACTGAAATGAATGAACTTTTGCACGATATTCAAATTTTTCGAGTTTCACCTGTAATGGCTGTAAAAACGGGCATTAATTAGAATTGTAAATAGCAGCCATTGGTTGTTATTTGCGATAAACTGTGATATTCTGTGACATTTACTATATTTATCAAAATGTTAGAATTACTTGAACCCCGTAAAAACACTGAGGAAAAAACATGCACACGATTAAAAAGGAGGAAATAATTCATTCATTCAAAAAAGGTGCTTGTTCAGATACGTTCATATTAAAGTGCCCCAATAATGCCATTTTAACCCTAAAGCCGTATTCTGGACAAATGTGGGCAAAATAGTTGATTTATTTTTACAAAATACTTTTTTTGACTCAATTCTACAATGTTAAGTGGGTGAAAAAAAACCCTTAATCTTGTATTTAGGTCAAACATGGGCACCCATAGAAATGAATAGGAAAAACTATAATTTAGAGCATTCTAAAATTAGACACCAGGTGACAGCAAAGTCACTTCATCTTTAGGTTTTAGCTCTAAGAACTTAGTGGAATGATATTTTAATGTAGTTAAAAAAAATAAAACATAACAATAAGCATAATTTACATAGAAAATATGGTACTTTGAAGTAAATAAATTTAAAAATACCCCCAAAATAAAGTCCTCTGTGCCCACATTTGTCCACAATGACAGGATTAAGAGCCATAAAATTAATACGGTTTGAGGGTTAAAGGTTCATAGTTTTGTTTTTGAATCTTCTACAATAGGTTAACATGCATCCAAAAATCAAGGATTCAGTCTCTCTAAACCCCGCCTTTCTGAGATCTGCTCTCCTCTGATTGGCTGTGATTGGTCGACTGCTTACAGCGCGTGTCAGAAACGCAACACCAAATTAGTTACAAACCTACTTTGTAACTAATTTCAGGCAGTTGCTTTCATTTGGGAGACAAAAACTCAATTTACCTGCACTCTGACCTTTGAAACTGCAGATGTTTTATGCACACGAACAGCTTTATTACACACTACATTAAAGGTAATATCAGGAAAAAGCATAACAGCAAGCCGTCGTACTTGTGCCTCCACCAGGACTGGTGAGTGTTAGCGAAGGAGGCGGCAGCTCCATGCTTTTATGCAGCGTTGCGACAGCGATAAGCTTCCTCTTGTGGATGCAAAGCTTCGTCACATCCTCGTCAGCCTTCACATCCTCTGCCGTCCTCTGCTTCACTACCGCACCAGGATCAAAATTAAAAACCTAAGAAAACACAACCGTCAGAGCAAGCCTTGAGTTTGGGCATCAAGTCTTAGTTTGCTTTGTTTATTCAACGTGACATTTAGAGGCGATTAAAGGATTAGTTCACCTCAAAATGAAAATTTCCTGATCATTTATGCCATCCAAGATGTTCAGTTTTCTGAGGAGAACATTTCAGGTACTGGACCAAATTGTTGAAGTAGTTTCAACGGTCTTATCTAGCGAAACCATCGCTCATTTTCTAAAAACAAATACATATATATATGAAGAGTTCAGATGCAAAAGCCTCTAAGTGCCATTTGAAATTTTCTACTAGAATGATCATTTTTATCAAGCTTGTATATTTAAGTTCAGTGATTTCACTTAAATGGCAATGATAATTACCTATTAATTGTTATTTAAGTGAAATTACTGAACTTAAATATACAAGTTTGATTAAATGCCATTTGAAATATTCTTCTTTAATGATGATTTTTATCAAACTTGTATATTTAAGTTCAGTAATTTCACTTAAATAACAATTAATAGGTAATCTTCATTGCCATTTAAGTGAAATCACTGAACTTAAATTTACAAGCTTGATAAAAATGATCATTTTAGAAGAAAATTTCAAATGGCACTTAGAGGCTTTTGCATCTGAACTCTTCATATACTTTTTATCCACAACTGTAGGTCTTGTGCTGGCCAGGCATTATGTAATCACACTGGAAAGGTCACGCTGGACGTAGGCGTAAGTACCGCCCCATTGTTTTAAACATCCAGGATACGCACACGAAAAGACCATTTTAAAGACATTTATCATCATATTTAGTGAAATCGACACTATCATCCGAGAGAACAACATAAATAAATCCACCGCTCCCGGTTCATTCGGGCGCAGGAAGGGTGAGAGATCGGACTGTCAATCACAGGTCGCGCAAGTTTTATGTGATTTATTTGGGTGCAGAGCTTGCAACATTTCTTTTCGACAGGTAATCAACTAGTTGCTTTATGTCTTAGTGTTATGTTAGTAATCTAAGTAGCCTATATGTTTGCCCAAATGTATTGGTATGGATCGCTTACGTTAGCACTTGTTGGCCAGGTTCGTTTGGACTTCGAAAATTTGGTTCCCATTGAAGTCCATTGTGTGGAGAAAAATCCTGAAATGTTTTCCTCAAAAAACTGAATTTCTTTTCCACTGAAGAAAGACGTGAACATCTTGGATGGCACTGGGGTGAGTACATTATCAGGAAATTTTCATTTTGAAGTGAACTAATCCTTTAAATCTCAAAATCAATGATACCACAGTCAAATTTCCCAACTTGTATAGTATGCGTGAAATGACTAATATGTTGCAATAAGCAGTATTTATGAAACAAATGGCATGAAATAACATTGTTGGTCACATGACAAAACCATACAAGTGAGCAGAATTAAGGGTGTTAAGACACGATTTGACTCGACACCGAGTTCAATACAAGACTTTAAAGTACTTTTTACAGACTTATACAATAAACAATTTATTCTTTCACAAAATTGACATTTTATTTCTCACGTTTTTTTCATAATTTTCAGAACATAAACAGAATATAATATCGGAAAAGAAATCCATATAATTCCTATTTAATAAATGATTTATTCATTCATAATTATTTAATAAGTTAAATCATTATTTAACGGGGTATGTGATTTCGGACACAGCCACTGTGACCTGAATTATTCATCACTCTCGTCATCTTCAACGTACATGACTTACTTTCTTCAGACAAAGTCAAACGAAGATTTTTTCCCTCTCTGAGAGTCCATAATATAATCCCATATAATTTGATGCTTGATAAACACACACACACACACAGACGGTCATACTTGCGAAAGCACCAAGAATACAAAATTATTTTGAATTATTTTCCTAAAAATCTTCCGTTTGTGTTTTTTTGATGAGAGAAAGTCATACATCATTCAGGGATGATATGAGGGCGAGTAATGATGAGCATTTTAATTTTTGGCTGAACTGTCTGTCCGTTTAACAGTCTATTAAACGCATCACTACAGTCAGAAAAGCAACAGGGAAGTACGGTGTAGTTTGCATAGGAAATAAATCGAAAAGAACAGCCCAGCATTTTCATGACACAAATTACCTTTCAAAAAAGCTGAATATTGTTTTATTTTGACGGAGTTATTTTTGTTGTCTAGTATCTGTTTTACGGACCACAAATGATTCAGTGAGAGAGCAACTGAATAAATCAAAATGAATCGTAAATCAATTCAGGCCATTTTGCAATCCTGTTTGGCCAAATATTGCTCAATATTGAAATATTCTCAGGTAAGTTTGAGCATGCGTGGTTCACAACCGAACAGTGAATGAAGACATGATATCCTCATGAAGGTTGAGGAATGGAGCATACTGATCTTGCTGTGATTTATCCACTATTATCAGTGACGATGTACATGTATAAGCTACGTTTAGCATATGTCATAGATGTATATGTCTATGCTATGCAATAATGTGGCTTTTGGAAAATGGGCAACTTCAGTACTGACCTTGGGTAGGATGAGAGGACACTCCAGACCACATTTACAGGTGCCATCAGTCAGCAAGTAAGACTTCACCTGCTCGAGGCAGGACAGCACTGATCCACTTGGACTGCACACACACACACACACACACACCAATCACACAATTATTTTACAGAATTTAGAAATTGTCTCATATTTAATGAAGTTTGCAGTAGAGATGCACCGATATGAAAAATTTGACCGCAACCGATAAGTCTTTATATTTGAAAGCCGATAACCGATATATTGGCCGATAAATCTAAATCCAAATGTTTATATTATCTTTTGAGAGCCTGATTACAAAAACAAAAGTCTCAGCATTAAAAACCATGTCCCAAACACACAATTATAAGATTCTCATAATTTTATGTAACCGATATGTCATTGCATTTTCCTTTTTTAAAGTGATTTCAATCATATTTCAAGCTATTCAAAACCATCATGGCGAAGCTGAAGGAAATAATCCATTATTCATCAGCTTTAATAAATCTGCCTGTATATATATTGTTATTTTCCTGTTTATCAGGGTGAAGCTACTTTGTATGAAGACCTACAGAAATAAAGGTGACTTGACAAATACCGTAAAGACATCAACCTATAAAAGTAAAAATAGACACTTTAGTTTTGATAAATAATTATTGTGTCTGGAGGACTATATGAAATTACATGCTTCACACACAGGGTCCAAACTGAACACAGCGAATGAGAGCAGCCAAGCAAGGCTCGTCACGCTCACGAACTGTGAGCTGACGGTTAATTATCGTACAAAAGATATTGCGATTAGCTTCTGTTTTGTTCATACCACTTACAGTGTAAGCCTCAGGGCCTAAAGCTAACTTTTTGCCACCAATTTGCCAATAGTGTCCACTAAGGCCCCCATTGAAGAGGAGCAGTGGCTCATTATCATTTAAAGAGACATGCACCGACACGGGTCGCTGTGAATAGAGCTGTTTTTGAGGAGGTAAAAATAGCTGGACTTGTGGAAAATGAGCATCCGATGACCCCTTTAAAGGGGTCTCCATATTAAAGTGAATTTTGCCTCCGATTATCCCTTTAAAAATCGCAATTCATGCTAGAAACATGTTTGAACATGCTAAAACACATTGTTAACATGAATTAGCATGTTACTAACATGAAATAGCACGTTGCTAACATTAATGAGCATAGCATGAATTTGCATTTTTGTTAAGCTGAATTAACATGTCGCTAGCACGTTTTACAAAAACATTGAGGAATTTTAACCAAAGTATGTTACAAACTTTACGTGAAGACCCTCAACGGGTTATTCAATGATCCCTTTAAGCATAAGGAGAACGTGCATGAAGTCATACCTGATATAAAGGACACCCGAGGCCTCCACCTTTCGCTGCCAGCCGATGGGCACCTGGGCGAGATGCCCTCTGCCGTCCCCACCCTCCCTTTCGTTACCTCCATTCATTTTTATGGACCAGTGCAAAACTCCTCGTGAGAGATCACACGCTCTTCCCTGTCCCGACACAATGTCTCATTCTGGCGCTCAGAAGAGGGAAGACGGAGCACAACTTTCCCGGGACGCAGTGAGACGGGCTCACAGCGCAGACCAGCACCGAAACGGACTCATTACTTTTCCACTGGACGCAGACAGGACCTCCGCTGCTACAGTCCGACCAATCAAAGCCATGAGAAAGAAGTCTGAAAGCACCTCAAATGACTAGACGCATGGAAAGGGTTGCAGCTCCCAGCAGGCAGTGGGACCGGCGGGTCCAGGTCAGGTGACGTGTCTTTACAGTGGACCACACAGGTCACGCTCTCTCGGCAGGTCTTTAGATGTGCTGCTCATCATGGACCGTTTAGATGACGCTCGCGGATATTCATGGTTCCTAAAAGAGAGAAAGAGAAAAATATATTATAATCCTCACACTTTCCTCTCAAACCTTCAGTGCGTTCCGCTCAACATACCGTAATGATCTGAGAGTGGAAGACTTGAGAGTCTCGTTAATGAAGTCAGTGAATCTGTGATCATAAAATGCAACTGAAAGGAACAAAATCTCTTGGTTTTAGGGCAGTGTATAATTATTTGTATATATAAACACACACACACATGCATTTAAGACGTATTTGCATGTATATTATACTGTATGTGTATTTATATACAACTTATATTATATAAGTTGTATATAAATATACATATTTATTTTTTGCTGCTTGAATAAGTACATAATTGAGGTTAGACAAATGTATGTGTGTATATATGAAGAGTTCAGATGCAAAAGCCTCTAAGTGCCATTTGAAATTTTCTTCTAAAATGATCATTTTTATCAAGCTTGTAAATTTAAGTTCAGTGATTTCACTTAAATGGCAATGAAGATTACCTATTAATTGTCATTTAAGTGAAATTACTGAACTTAAATATACAAGTTTGATAAAAATGACCATTCTAGAAGAACATTTCAAATGGCATTTAGAGGCTTTTGCATCTGAACTCTTCATATGTATATGTGTGGTATGTATGCATATATCTGTATAGGTGTATGGATGTATGGAACAACATGATAATAATAATATAAAATTGTAAATGTAAGACTGTAAGAATTTAAGGGGTAGGAGTACATAAGTTTTACTTCTTCCTACTCCTTTTCGCTCATATAATAGAAGTATGGCAACAGCAAAGAATTATACATATATATTTTTGCAGCTCATTTGTTTTGATTTTTCCTAAGTTTCTTAAACATTGTTTTATTTTATATACTTTCTTTTTATGTTCGAAATAAAGATTTCAAATTAAAATATATAAATAATTGATATATTTAATATAAATTATTTATATTTTTTAAATTATTAAATAATTTATAATTTATTTAAATAATGAAGTCAGTAAATCTGTGAACGTGATCATATTCTCAAAATGCAACTGAAAGGAACAAAACGTCACTTGGTTTCTTTCTTTTCATTTTTAAAGCCATGCCAGCTTCTATATTCCAGGTTTAGTAAATAAATAAGATCCTAAACAAGTCATTTTTTTTCAAGCTCATTCACATAAAGGACGATATCAATATACTTCCGAATTCGAGTCCACACCACAACTATAAAGATAGAAACAATATCATTGGAACCACTTTCAGAATGATTTTTCTTATCCGACAGCCAATCAGAATCATTCCTGGTTTAAAGCGCTAGAGCATTTAAAGAGACGGACGACAGAATTTTATCGTCCATTAGTGTGGACCGTTTCGACTCAAATCTGAAGCAGCACATTCGACATTAATAATCATAAATGTTTCTTGATCATCGGAGTGATTTCTGAAGGATCATGTGACACTGAAGACTGGAGTAATGATGCTAAAAATACAACTTTGATCACAGGAATAAATGACATTTTACTAAATTTTGCCAATCTTTTGAACTCGACTGAGCATCATACATGTGAACAGGTGAGCTCTGATTGGTCAGGACAGATTAGCGCCACCTTAATGAAAGATATATAGACCTTTATAATGTGAAGGCATCAGCATGAGTAAATAACACTGTGTTGATTGATTTCAAAACGACATTTGAACACTATCGTGTTGAAATCCTGAATGAATTCAGGGCACTTAATAAACCGAAAGGCTACGTGCTTCAGACAAAACCGGCCCAAATCACATGCGAATCGGATCAGTTTTTCCCATGACAGTGTGAGCGACCACAAACCACATGGAATCTGATCTTTTCAATTCAGATTTGTGTCACTTCCATATGTGGTCCTAAATCTCATTCACAAATTTGAATCACATTTTTACATAGCTGATGTTATCAGGACCGATGTGAAAGAAAAGCCCTATTCGCACTGGATTAGTATTACCTGGTGACCTGCAGGTTGTCTATGATCTTAATCCCGTGCGAATCGGCCATGTCTGTGATTTGTAAAGTAGAAATCCCTGCAAAAATGGCCTACCTACCATCATATTTCTCCAAACACAGAGTGATAATATTAGTCGCACACCAATCGGCATCTCAGTGATTTGGCGAGATCGTGTCCTTTTTTTCAAGGTTTTTGTTTCCTGTGAGCCTTTTTATCCATCTTTCGTGCAGAACGGAGGCTGCGTTTGATAGTATTTTGGGCGCTGGGCCATACTCATATCGTTAAAACCCAACCAACTATACAATTTGCAGAAAGATAAAGCTGAAAATCATCAGAAGAGCAAAACCAAAAAGATGATTAGATGGAGATGGATGTCATGTATAACAGCACGCGGTAAAGAACATCCAGACCCAGACATTTCCAAGCGATTGCCTATTGACATCAAAATCACAGGCTTCGCTTATCCGTGCGAATGCGGCATTCAGATGTGTGTGTGTGTGTGTGTGTGTTGGGGGGGTTCAAAAATCGCACAAGGTCCCCAGATAATACTAATCCAGTGCGAATAGTAGCGCGGCACAATATATCGAAATTATTGAAATATCGCATATATATATATATATGAAGAGTTCAGATGCAAAAGCCTCTAAATGCCATTTGAAATTTTCTTCTTTAATGATGATTTTTATCAAACTTGTATATTTAAGTTCAGTAATTTTACTTAAATAACAATTAATAGGTAATTATCATTGCCATTTAAGCGAAATCACTGAACTTAAATATACAAGCTTGATAAAAATAATCATTAAAGAAGAAAATTTCAAATGGCATTTAGAGGCTTTTGCATCTGAACTCTTCATATATATATATATACACTACCGGTCAAAAGTGTGAACAGATAATGTAGATTAACATAACTTTAATTATACTTTAAAGATGGTTTATTTTACACACTTTAAGCATTATCGTATTATTGCATATCGAATATCGCAATATTTAACGAGTTACCGTATTTTTCTTCAATATCGTTCGTGCAGCCGTAGCGAATAGGGCTATATCAGTGAAGGACAGCGACGTGTCAGTGTTACACACACACACACAGCTCAATTATATACAAAGCAAAACAGAAGGGCTCGAATCAATGTTTAAAAACTCTGCTTTTCTTTTTCGCATCCTTGTCGTTGTTATTTTACATTGCCTGCGCAAACATTCGCTGACTTCCACGGCAGATCACATTATAAATAAACAGGCAATCACTTACTTTAACGTTCCCTGTGTGACGTCTTTTTTATTGTTCTTGTGTGCATGCAAGTCAGGATCATGATCTGTTCACACTGGAATCTGATATTGGCCACGTTTAAACAACAAATTGAAATGCTATACAAAAAAAAAAATTGGGATCTGAGCACTAAGTCTCGCGGTGTGAACGTAGCTTAATCTTTTCTAATCTGAATCACAAACTACAGGCAGATTGAATCAAGAACTGAGACGTATGTATGAGTATGAGATCTGAATTCACTCCTGAACATCAGCAGTGTGAACAGGTCTGAGTCCAGATCACACAAACCTCAACGCTGGACTTCGAGAAGACGAGCAGCTGTGTGTGTCACTGTGTTGCTGACTCACTCACTACAGGTCTGAATGAGCAGCGCACACACACACCTGCACGCGTGCTGTCAGAGCAGATTCTGACCAGGATGAAACCCATAGATCAGATGCTAATCTGCACAAAACACACTATAACTGAATGACAACAACAACAACAGAGATGGCACAATGTGATCATACACACAAGACGTATTCGCACTCAACTGTATGATTTATATCATATTTTGTCATTCGACATTCGATTCTTCACTAAGAAAAGCTGCCGAGTGCATGAAACCTTCAACACTTTGCTTTCTCAGTTAACTATATTACAAAATGGCATTTAATAGTGTACAAGTATGCTACAGAGTCCGGCTGTTCTGCCCTGCACTGACCCTTAAAGAGGTCAGAGGTCATTTACTACTATGTTTGCTGCAGAAACAACATCAAAATGACAACGTAATTAGCTCACAAAGCACAGAAATATTCGTACGCCAAAAAAAGACACAGAATGTCTTGATCACTACATGAGTGTTGTATTAGACACATCAGGTGTGTGTGAGAAAGAGAGACACACACACACACACACACACACACACACACACACACACACACTTCAGGTGTTGCCTACCTGTCATTAACATGACATAAGACGATTCCCATCTCGGCATTCAGGTTTATCCACCGATTGATATCTGTAAATCCTCACTGCAACCACGCTGATATATGAGTGACAGTTGCACTGACAGTAAAATAATGTGAGTTTCAGATGCGATCAGACTCTCTCTTGAAGATATACTGACAGAGATGTAACAGTAAACGTCCTGCTCACACACTTGTGTGCTTGTACAACGACAAACACCACACTCACAATCACTTATTTCAGCATTGACTCATGACAACACTAACCCAGAGCAGATAAATGAGCAGCTGGCCCACAGCTAAGGCTAAAGCTAGCCCGAGATGATGTCGAAGAGCATCAGAGGTCGGATCGCGGCTCAGCACAGGCTCGGTTCGGTTCGGGATGAAGCTCTGGGCTCATTATGGCTGCGGGTGAATCCGAGCGAGCGAGCGAGCGCACACACGCACGCGCGCGCACACATACACACATACACACACACATATACACACAGCTAACTGCTAACCTAAACAACACACGCGCAACAAACGTACAATCCCACGTACACAGACGTACCTGCTCGCGTGCGGGCCGGAAACACTCTTTTAGCGGATTTACACTCAAATGTGTCGCCGCGGCCGAAGCACAGCAGCAGCGGCTCGATCTACCTCATAACACCCGCCACACGCATCGTTTATGTCCGCTGGAAGCTCCCAGGAGGATAATAACGGAGGAAGAGTCCGCTCGGGTTTGTTTCACATCGACTCTGAGCGTTTAAAAATAAAAACAAAACGTCCACAAGCATCAATACATCCGCTGCTCTTCTGCGCTCGGGATGGAAAGATGGAGCTCCGCTGTGCGCATGCGCCCCTGACAGCGACCACAATGCACCGGGGCATGACGGGACACACGAATGAGTTCGGCCCTGTTTGTTAAATGTTTCATCAGAACATTGATGCCTCGTGAATATGATTCATACCTGTAAATAGACAGCAAAAACTAAAATAAAAACTAATAAATAAATAAACAGGCCCATAAAAAAACTCGTTATGCTCAGTCCTTTTCATTTGCATCCCATACATAATTAACCCTCAGGTGCTCTTCGGTCGTTTCTGACCGAAAATTTTTCTGTTTTGAATTTCTAAAAATCACAGCTTCATCGGAATGTTATGAAACTTGGTGACTTTTATGGCATTATGTATGTGAATACAAAAAAAAAAAAAAAAAAAAATGAGGTCATGATCCGAGCATGCTAAGTGGTCTAAAAAATAGTCACACTTGTGGTCTTTGGTCAAAAACATTGGTCAAAAATGACCCCCATAGGAAATAAAAGAGAAATTGACAAAAACACAAAAATTCACAAATTTTTAATTTAATTTTTTTTTTTTACATTTTTTCATAAAAAATCGCTTTTGACATTGTTTCAACAATATATTCAAATCCACCAAAAAAAAAAAAAATGTGTTCATAAACATCTGGGGAATTCACATCTAGGCTTCTCCATAGAGAGCTGTACATGCCATCTAGTGGTTACACCATGATTCTACGCTTTTTCTCCATACTGTAACCAGATGGTGCTAATTTTCTTCCAAACATATATTTATTTTGAAGGCATAGACTCTATATTAAACTAAAATACTGCATTGATAATTTTTGGAAAAAAAAAAATATATATAGAAAAATATATATATTTGTCCATGGCAAAAATAGACCATAAATATTGCATAAATATTAATAAATTCAATCGAATTGTCTCCAAATACTAAATTACAAAGAATAAATATTATAGAACAAAAATAAATTGCATTGGTTTTACTGGGATGGAGGAAATTTAATTTTTAGGTGTCCGGTCACTTTTGACCGGGAAGATAACAAGTGTGACTCCGAAACGAAGAGAGCACCTGAATATTTACAGAAATATAGACTGTAAAATTAAAATAAATAAATAACAGTTTTAACACTTCATGGTTATTTTTACATGAATACAATTCATTTCTTTTCATATCTATTTGTTTAGCGCTTTTCAAAATACACGTCGTTTCAAAGCAGCTTTACAGAAAATGCATGAGTCCATATTACAGTTTAGAGAGATCCGTGATCAGAGTTATGTCTAAGTTATGTATTTCAGAAATGTACATATAAAAATCACAGTTAGCTAACAAAAAAATGTATTCATTTAAACAATGTAATAATTTACGGCGGAAACAATGAGCTTATTGAAGCAATGAATACACCATTATTACAGCAATATAAAATAAATTGTATTTCAAATAACTTTCAAGTAAACAAATGTGCTATACTTTCTAATTGTTTATTTTAAAAAATAGTTAATTAAAAATATAAAGTACTTAAAACGAAAATCGAAATAACAAATATTAACTTGTCTATGTCAATGTCAAGAATGAATTAAGGAATAGTTGGTGGTAAAGACCCGGCATTTATTAGTGGTTTTATTTTTAAAAAGGAATGGAAGGTCTCAAACTTCATGTTCCTCTATTTTTGGTCCTCTATTTTCTATTATGGTCTTTGTCTGCTAATCGTTTGCCTTGATTATTGCTCCTTGCTTGTTAGTTAGTTTGTGTTCATCCTAGTGCTTGTGTCTTATGCTATTGGTTGTTCGCGGTCTTGTATTGTACACAAGAATAAATCATTAAATAAGCAATAAAAATCATGATAAAAATAAAAGAAACTTTGCAGCCCGGTTTACTCGCTTTCTGTTGAGTGGGCGTGGCGATGTGGTGGTTCTGCGCATGCGCGTATCACGCTCTCGTTTGCCCCTCCCACTGAAGACTGTCAAACAGGCACACACACACAGTACTTTAGAGTTTTTATAACTATAAGGATCTTGTAACAGCGCTGAGGATCAATCCAAATGTCATCTCAACTGTTCGTGGATCAGTGTTGTTACTAATGAAAGGTCGTAGCTGAGATGCGCGACGCGCTGTTAACGCCTGTCAGACGCTTCCCGTGGGCGACCAATGTGACCCTGTACGGGTGCCTGTTCGCGGGCGGCGATCTCGTGCACCAGCGCTTCTCGCGTAAAGAACAGGTGGACTGGACTCACACGAGAAATGTGGCCGTGGTCGCGTTCAGCTTTCACGGCAACTTCAATTTCTTCTGGATGCGGTTCCTGGAGCGACGCTTCCCCGGTAACGCGTTGCGAGCGGTGATGCAGAAGCTCGTGCTGGACCAGACGCTCGCCGCGCCGCTCGCCATCAGCGCCTTCTACACAGGTGAGCACACACAGGTGACTGACTGACAGGTCTTGGGCCTTATGATGTGAGGTGTAACCTGAGGTGTGTAGTGATGATGTCATGGCCTGACTGACAGGTCTTATGACGTGAAGTATGTGTTATGATGATGTCATTGAGCAGGTGTGAGTTTCATGGAGGGCAGAGATGAGGTCCTGCAGGACTGGAAGGACAAATTCCTCAACACGTACAAGGTGAGTCTCACAGCGGGTGTCATTTATACCACGGCTCTGAGGATAGTGTCACACACACCTGTGTTTGTTTCTCTGTGCAGACCGGGCTGATGTACTGGCCGTTCATGCAGGTAAATAAATCGCACTCACAACACTTTCTCACATTTAAAGGTGCAGTAAAGCGATTTCTGAGAAACGTTGTTGATATTTGAAATTGACAAAACAAAGAGTCACATCTTCCATCTTTTGTTAACCTAACCAGTGTTGGGGAAAGTTACTTTTAAAAGTAATGCATTACAATATAGAAAAAAAAGTAACTATTTAGTTACTTTTTATGGGAAGTAATGCGTTACAATACTTTTGCATATCTCTCGGAAGGGACAGCTTTTGTCCCTTAAGCTCTGAGAATAGGTTAGTGTGTGTGTGTGTGTGTTCTCATGTCAGTGCTCTTCACAGTTCCTGAACTTCTCCCTGGTCCCGGCGCTGATCCGCACGATGTTCTCCGGCTGCTGCGTGTTCGTCTGGGCCTGGTTCCTCTGCTTCTCCCAGCGGAGCGGAGACGGGACCGTCACGCCAGCGCTGGACTGGATCAGAGCCGGCCCGCGCGGACCAGAACCACCCGTCTCAGGGAAGAGCGGCGGAGAATGAAGCCTTTAAACGTTAGAAAATGTGGAAAAGATTATTTGTGACCAGTCCAAACTAGCTGGAGAGCCAATCCTGCTCTTTGAGGTTGCTTTTTTAAATATTTAATTTCTCCTTATATTAGTTTTATCTCCGTCATTCAAACACGATTCCCGGGACATAAATTTAGTGCTGATATTTATTTGTACATTGTAAAGAACCATAATATTTTGAGTTTCTGTTGATCAAACCAATCGCCTTAATTGTATTAATTTATTACGTTAGTTTTGTTTGTCTTCATTTTATGAAACGGTTCCTGGGACATACATTTAGTTATTGTACTAATATTTATTGTATGTGCGTCTGACTGGGGTTTGCAAATTTTCTTTTTATTAATTGCTTTGAATGCTCCTAGGTACCTTACTAATATAATCTTATACCCAGCAAACACAGAATGTTCCCCTAACGTTCACGAATGGTTCCCATGAGGTTATTTTTTTTTTGGTAACCAAACAAGAACGTTATAGGAACGTTCCATTTAGGTTATTTTTAGGTTCCATTTTTATAACGTAAGGAGAATGTTTTGGGAAGTTGGAACGTTCCCTTAACCTAAGGGAAGGTTCTAGGAACGTTCTGGGAACCAAATACTAACGTTCACAGAACCTGAATTTGTTTGTTGGGTATGACTGAAACTCGAAAAATTACAATATGGTGCAAAAGTTCATTTATTTCAGTAATTCAACTTAAAAAGTGAAACTAATATATTATATAGACTCATTACATGCAAAGTGAGATATTTCAAGCCTTTATTTGTTATAATTGTGATGATTATTAGAATATTGTGAAAAGGTTTTCTGTAAGTTGAATTTCACCTGTATGCAGTTATTTCTGTAATAAGCAGCTAATTCCTTTGTTCAAACATACATTTCATTTGTTTTGCACATCACTTGTCAATCTACAGCAAGTCCAGTGGAATGAAATTATTAAAATGTATTTAATAGGTTTTACAGATTGTTGTGGGATGGAAAACTGTTTTTAGCAAACTGTAAATATCTTTTTTTATTAAAATTAAAGAATCACACATGGGGAGAATTATTATTGTGTATTGTTGAATGAAATTATATGTTAACAATAAAACAAAGTTATAAAATAACAGGCTTTATTATAATACATCAATCATTTCCAAGGGTTTTATATATTAACATTAGCATTTAATGTGATTATTGTATCATGCCATTTAATAATGTTTACGCAGAGTAGCGTTATTTGTCCAGTGTTTTTGTCAGCCCGTCGTCCCTTGTGCGCATGCGCTCTGCATCTCTCATCACGGTGACGTCACGGAGCTTTATTCTGTCAGGACTCAGGATGTTGTTCGATGCGCGCAGATCAGCGTGATTACAGAGACGAAATCAAAGAAATCGGAGAAATCCCACATCTGGGACATCAACATTGACCATGGAACTGAAGAAAGCGCTTTCCGAGAGCGACGGGACGATGAAGACGTACGGCGCCATGCGCGAGACGAACCGGAGCAGAGACAAAGGTGACAGAACAATGTTGTTATTACTATTATCATCAGATATCATATTAGTCTTATATCAGATATGGTTTCGCTGTCTTGTCATTACTAGACGTGACATTAGTGTTATCGTCCATCCATGTGATTGTAGTCTTATTAATTATTAGGTAGATAAATGATTTCAATATTATTATCAGACGTGCATTAGCGTTTCTATCAGATAATATTTTATTCAGTCATTGATATATTAGAGTTGTTGTCAGTGCGAAATTAGGTTTAATATTTGATTTGATAGCATTGCTGTTAGACGCGAAATTTATGCTGATGCTATCAGTTATGATTATTTTTTGTTACACATTTGTATCAAAAGAAAAAAAATCAGTTTTCAATAACACTGCTGGCCTCTCGTGTTTTTAAGGGTCACCCGTTTGTCTGTCTATTTTTGTACCCTTTCAAGATTATTAACAGTTAACTGATACTCCAACCATAAACATTTATGTTGAATTATTATAAACAAACTAAATAAAATATTAACAAAATATTTCAAAGTTGAACTATTTCAGCTAGTTGCCAAATATAAAAAAAAACTTGAAGGAAAAAAAATCTAAATATTAAATATTAATTTATAATGTTATTAAAGCTATAATCTCAATGATTGTTGTGTTTAACATCCTGTGGTGGAAATAATACATGGAGTTCTAAATGGAAGATTTAATGTAATATTATTGCTGTTCTTTTATTGCTCATTTGAGTAATTATTATTAAGGTGAAGCTCGAGCTGTCTGTCAACCTGATACGAGCAGGTGAACTTGTGGGACATTTTCAGAATAAAATGGCAGATTCATAAATTTAATAGGGATTCATTTTAGTGGACTTTTTCATTTTAGAGATTCATTTTAGTGGCAAAATTGTTCTCTATAGTGGAAATTTCATTATAGTGTCTTTTCATTTTTTTTTGAATAATCATTTCAATTTTATTTTTATTGAACATTCTAAATCCCATGTGTGGGACGGTACTCTCAGATGGGGGCAGAGAAATAAAAATCCCATATATATGTCACACACTCCATCTGTTTGCACCCTAGGCCAGATGGACGTGTCGATGGCTGAAAGCTCCATGACTCCAGACGAGATCGAGGCAGAAATGGCTCGTATTCAGCGCCTGCGGGAGGTTCTGGTGAGACGCGAGTCCGAACTCAGATTCATGTGAGTATCTCAATGGTCACACGTAGTTCTTCAGACTGAGTGAGTTTCCTGTGTGTGTGTGTATTTGATTTGAACCAAACGCTGGTGTTCTGGTGTTCTTCTCAGGATGGACGATGTTCAGCTCTGCAAAGACATCATGAGCCTGAAACAGGAGCTGAGGAAGATCGTGACAGTGCCAGGTGACTGAAGAGAACGTGTTTCCGTCAACTACAGTTTACAAATCTACTGAAAATACACCGTAGTATAAACTTTTATGAAGTTATTCTGATGATTTTTGCAATTGAGCACAAATTCAAACTTTGCATGTCTATCTGAGTGGAAATCCAGCAAACGAGACCCAGCGGACAGAGAACAGTCTAGCAAGGTTATGGACAAAAGATCTTCCAGTACATCGTTAACAGTGTTGTGCAAGTTACTTCCAGTTCCAAACTGTAATACATTAGGTATTACTTGTTACTGTTATTTAAAAGTAATTCATTACCTTACAATATTACTGTCTCAGAATTGTAATGCGTTACATTACTCATGTATTACTTTTGAGTTACTTTCACCAAAATAACTAAGTAGAACTTAACTTTTGGGCTGTAACGATATGCAATATGAAACCGAAATCGCGATTCGCCACACGACTCAGATCCACGAACCTACAGAATCGCGACACACGTCTTCCAACTCCAGCGTTATTCTCCTTGCGTCCAGATCCAATGCTGCCTTATCTTTAAATTAGGCTATTAGTATTATTTGAAGTTAACATTATAAAATATGTAGACTTAAACCACAAAACTAGTTGAGGATAAATAATTTAAAATTGGGGAAGTCCAGCATTATGGACATGACATTTGCGGTCAAAACTTGAAATAAAAAATCTATTGAAACGTATATAGGCTACTTCCTTAAAGGACTCCAGACATTAGACAAATATCAGTCTATGTTTTATTTTTAATATTAGGGAAAAGACACACATTCATGCGTGACAAAAAAATAGGAGGCAAAATATATTTTTTGTAATTCTGTTAATTAATTACACTGCGCGAATCGGATGAGGAAGGGTTGGCTCTCCAGTCTCCATAGAACTTAAAATATTCATTTTATTTTAGTTTCTGTGTTCGCATTTATGAGGAAAAAACAATGTTACAGACGCGACCGCTCTGAACCGGCACTAAAAGAGTTCTTTAAAACTTTCACATAGTCTGTTGCCTTTAAGAAGTAAAAGCAGACAATACACTGTAATACAACTGTAATACAAGCCTCACTGAACATGTAACGAGTAAAATATGACTGAAAATTGATTAGTAATGCCTTACACTACTGCGTTACAGCAAAAAGTAATATGTTACTGTAATGTATTACTTTTGTAATGCGTTACTCCCAACACTGATCATTAATGAAACGACTAATCCTTTATTAAATGTTACTACTAGTTTCGGAGAACATTCAAAACTACCTTCCCATAATGTTTGCAAAATGACACAATTGAACGTTCCGTTAATATTTATAATCAAGAATAGAAAAATATATATTTATAGTCATCTGTAGTCAATTTTATCCCTTAAAACTCCTCTTTGATCCTCAAAATGACGTTTAAGCATTTGTTCGTTGAAAAAAAAAAAACCTTCATGTCTAAAATTATCTTGAATGTAACTTGACACCCTTAACTCATTTAGTATACACTGCTCTATGAATATGCAAATGAGCCCCGCCTCCACTCACTCACTCTGAGATCCACTGTTTGACGATCACATGTTGATCTGATTGGTTACAAGGTCGTTTGTGGCATCATGTAACACACACTCACCTGAACACACAGACGCAGAGAAGACGAAGCAGCAGCGCCGGAGAGAGGAGACGTTACTGGTGGAGATCCATCAGCTGGTGCAGAAGAGAGACTTCCTGGTGGAGGACGCAGAGGTCGAGCGGCGGAGGTCAGGACAGCTGTGACTACACTTCACAGATTCAGTTTCAATTCATTTTCTTTTAATATGAATTAAACATCTGAACGGTAGAAAATAACTGATATAACGGTGTTAAACATGAAAGAATTAAGCCATCTTTAACATTAACTTTGAGAACTGGATCTTGAGTTATTTCTTCAACATGATGTGAAATAGTTTAAATCAGTATATTGACGTTTGTTTGTTTCTTATCTTTTCTTTCTAAGTGTGCACTAATCTACAATACTACAATATGTAGCCCTCAAACCGTATTCACTTTATAGCCCTTAATCCTGTAATTGAGGACAAATGTGGGCACAGAGGACTCAGGTGTAATCCTAATTTTTATTTATTATAAATGTTATATCACCGTCTTCGATAATGTTTTTTCTATCCATTTGTGGTGTTTTTTTTTTATTTTGGGGGTATTTTCGAATTTATTTACTTCAAGAAGTACCATATTTTCTATGTAAATTATGCTTATTTTTATGTTTTATTTTTCAAAAATTTTTAACTACATTAAAATATCATTCTTAGAGCTAAAACCTAAAGATGAAGTGACTTTGCTGTCACCTGGTGTCTTATTTTGGCTTATTTTAGAATACAGTTTTTCTAATTCATTTCTATGGGTGCCCATTTTTGACCCAAATACAAGATTAAGGAGTTTTTTTTTCACCCACTTAACATTGTAGAATTGAGTCAAAAAAAAAAAAAAAAAAAATTGTGTTCAGGAGGCAAACTTAGGAAAAGTAGCCAAGTCTTGTACCGCTCAGATCAAATTAAATCAAAACTATTTTGCCCACATTTGTCCAGAGTACGGTTTTAGGGTTAATAAGATTAAATACAATAACACTTTACAATAAGGTTTATTAGTTACATGAACTAAGAATGAATAAAACTTCCGTCAGCATTTATAAACCTTAGTTAATATTAATTTCAACATTTACTAATACATTATTAAATTCAAAGATTGTATTTGTTAACATTAGTTAATGCACCGTGAACTAACATGAACAAACAATGAACATCTGGATTTTTATTAACTAACATTAACACAGATTAATCAATACTGTAACAAATGTATTGTTAGTTTATGTTAGTTAATGCATCACCTAATGTTAACTAATGAACCTTATTGTGAGCTGTGATACATCACAGCTTTTATTGGAGACACATGGTCACACGTAGTTCTTCAGACTGAGTTTCGTGTGTGTGTGTGTAACAGGGAGCAGGAGGAGGATAAAGAGATGGCCGAGTTCCTCCGACAGAAGCTCAGCGGGATACAGAGTAAGAGTTCGCTCATGAGACGGGACACATAAATGTTTATTTCACTATGAGAAATCGGAGACCTTTCTTAAAGTCATCATGAAAGTCGTCACACTAGTGTTTTCTCCTCGATTGTGTCGTATATCGAGTGAGGAACACATGTGGGCGGGGCTTGATTGTGTCTGTGAGGAATTGATTGGATGGTTGTGGTTTGCTATTGGCTGATCTCATGTGAGTGACAGGTTATAGCCCCGCCCTCGTCATCAGAGAAGAGATGCTGCAAGAATTATTAAAACAATAACGATGTGCACAAATAAATCTATAATAACGTAATATTCCATACAAAAAATGTCCGTTTTGATTTCCTGGTGACTTTAAGGGGTTTTCATTGGACGACACACACGCTGCTCAACTTTGACCTTGACTTGACAGTGTTGCACGTAGTGTGACGTGACGTGCTTTAACAAGTAACCAGTCAGTGTCAGACCGGTTTCTAATGATTTGTGGCATCTGTTTGTGTAGAGTTGATCTGATTTTTGATTTATGTTCCTTAAATGTTTGAATTTTGAAATAAAAATGGCAAAAATAACAAACTACGTTGGCGGCTGAGAATAATGCTGCGTTCAAGTCATGTCGGAAACATCATTTTTGCAAGTTGAACACGTGAATGTTTCCACAAGTCGCAATTATGAAAAATTATTATTTATTTTTGAAAAATTATTAAAATTATGATTATATATTATTATGAAAATTAATTATGAAAGGAAACTGGGGTTTTTGAGCTCAGAGTTTCCGAACCTGACGTAATCCCGACTTCCCAACTTGTAAATACTTCCCACGAGGACATGAATGCCGTTGTTACGGGATAACGTGACGTTCTGTGTTTGGACCATAGTGTTTGCCATAACTCATAATTCCCACCTATCAACGGAAAAAAGCGTACAAGTCAGAGAAATATATTTAAGTTATTATTATGAAGGTAACGCTTTACAATAAGGTTCATTAGTCAGCATGAACTGCACATATACAGTATTTATTAATCTTTGTTAATGTTAATTTTAACATTCACTAATACTTTATTGTTGACATTAGTTAAAGCACTGTGGACTAACATGAACGGCTGTATTTTTATTAACTAACATCAACAAATACAATAACAAATGTATTGCTCATTGTTAGTTCATATATTAACTAATGAACCTTATTGTAGTGTTACCATTAAAGGAGTGGTTCACTTTAAAACAAACTTTTGCTGATAATTTACTCGCCCCCATGTCATCCAAGATGTCCATGTCTTTCTTTCTTCAGTCGAAAAGAAATGAAGGTTTTTGATGAAAACATTCCAGGATTTTCTCCATATAATGGACTTTAATGGGGTCCAAACGGTTCAAGGTCCAAAAGAGAGTTTCATTGCAAACTGTTCAAAGGGCTTTAAACGATTCTAGATGATGAATAAGGGTCTTATCAAGCGAAACGATCATTCATTTAATAAATAAATAACAAAGTTTAAGTTTTATAAGCTCAAATGCTCGCCTTGCTCTGTTCTGTGACGCGCGTTCGTGACTCTCCTGTTCGAAGTCGTTCATCAAAATGAATGAATCTTTTTCCGAGTCATTTGGTTGATTCAATGAACGAAATGAACGAGTTGACTCGGAAAAAGATTTGCATAAGACCCTTATTCATCATCTGGAATCGTTTAAAGCCCTTTGAACAGTTTGCACTGAAACTCTCCGTTTGGACCCCATTGAAGTCCATTATATGGAGAAAAATCCTGGAATGTTTTCATCAAAAACCTTAATTTCTTTTTGACTGAAGAAAGAAAGACATGGACATCTTGGATGACATGGGGGTGAGTAAACTATCAGCAAAAGTTTTTTTAAAGTGAACTACTCCTTTAATAAGGATGTGAACGCAAAGTCCCAATCTCTGACATGGCGTGAACGCAGCAACACAGAAAAGACTCCTGTGACCCCTGACCCGTCTCTGTTCATCTCTGATTGGCTCTTCTGTCCACCACAGGAGCTCCGAAACCACGAACATCTGAAGCTCCCGCGAACAAGCCGTCCCTGAGCCGGAGCAGCGCGGCCCTCATCAAAGACTGCTGCGGAGCCACTCAGTGCACAGTCATGTGACCGCCCCCTCACGCTCAGTCATAACCCTGTTAAGTCCATTTGATGAATATGTTAATGCGTTTGGATTTGTTCACTGGAGCAGTAAAAGACTGAGATTCTGCAGCATGTAAAACTCGCGCTTCGTTGCAGTCCGGAGGACCAGAAGAGCAGACGTGGGTGGAAACCATAAAGGTCCGTTCACACCAAGAGCCATAACTATAATCATAACTATATGTTTTTGAACGGAAATCAACACTTGCCAAGCGCCAAATGAGAGTGAAAACCAGTGTCGGCGAGTATGAAACTCAATCCGTAACATTTGTTACGAGTTCCAACAATGCAACGTTGTGAACGTTAACGATTCTCGGGACACTCGACGAGCCAGCGGCGCATCGTCGTGAACGTTTAAGCTTCGACAGTTAAAATATTCAAGCGCAAAGGAACTCAAACCGTTACGCTGGACGTTTAGTGCGCGCAGAAAGCCGCGTCTCAGAAAGCGTGCGAATACTGAAATGAGCTCCGTTTCACGTCCCCTTGTGCTTGAACGGACAAATACACACAAACGGTGTCAAAATATGTGAGTACGCTAGTTAGTAAACACATGAGTATGAGTATCAGTGAATGAGTATCAGTATACAGGTGACACTCGAAAAATAATATCGTGTAGGGATGGGCAACGATTAATCGCATCTAAAATAAAAGTTTGTGTTTACATAATATATGTGTGTGTAGTGTGTATAATTAATTTGTATATATAAATACCCACACATGCATGTATATATTTAAGAAAAATGTGTTATGTATCAAATATATATATTTATATATAATATTAATTGTAAATAAATATATATAAAATATATACATGCACATATTTATTAAATATATACATGCATGTGTGGGTATTTATATATACAAATTAATTATACACACTACACACACATATATTATGTAAACACAAACTTTTATTTTGGATGCGATTAATCGTTGCCCATCCCTAATATCGTGCAAAAGTTCATTTATTTCAGGAATTCAACTGAAAAGGTGAAACTGATATATTATACAGACTCATTACATGCAAAGTGAGATATTTCAAACCTTTATTTGTTATAATTTTGATGATTATGGCTTACAGCTAAGATAAACCTTTTCACAATATTCTAATTTTGAATTTGTTGTTTTCATAAGCTGTAAACCATAATCACATTATAACAATAAAGACATGAAACATCTCACTTTGCATGTAATGAGTCTATATAATATATTAGTTTAACTTTTTAAGTTGAATTACTGAAATAAACGAACTTTTGCACTGTATTCACATTTTTCGAGCGTCACCTGTATTAGATCCATGGCTTCGCTCTTAAAGTGACAGGAACCTAATATTCCCGGTGCCGTCTGTGTTTTCATGTTAAACAAAGAAAATAAAATAAAAACTCATTGCCTTTGACTGAATAACTTTTGAAACTTGAAAGGATTTCAATTTAAATTTGATTACTTTAACTAAAAACTACTGTTACTTGTCTTTAATAGAGACGATGTTAGTTAGGCTACTAGTTTTAGCTGTGGATGTGGTTTCTCTGTATCACCCCACAGCAAGAACCATATTATTTATATTTAGAACCGTCTTCATCGTTATAGTTATTGTTGTTGGTGTGAACAAACATTAAGAGTTACGAATAATCGGTCACAAGCACAACAGAATCTCACCACAGTATCACAGGGTTTTTATTTCTTCTTAGACATACGCCCCCCTGTAAATAAACAATCACTCAATGTCAGTATCCCATGGACTAGTTCTCCACAAACAGTACATCCCTAAAGGTTTGGGGGGATTTCTGTCGTTTTCTTGCACACAGAACCGGATCAACACACCACCTCGTCAGATGTGTGCACAAATGTTGAAATGTGGGGATATTTAAGCAGGTCAGATAATCTGAATTAAACAGAAACTGAATCTGAGTAAAGCAGGATATCAGTGGCACTTGTGAATGTCCTGCAAATAAAGTTTCTTTCAGCAGTGTGTGTCGCTCCTTCATTCACAGCACAGACACATCATCTACTAGTGTTTGATTTGCAGTTTTTTGTTTGTTTTCACTCGCTGGATGTCACGCATTTAATGCAAGCTTGTTTCCGCCACGGAATAGAAAATAAATAAGGTAATTCAGCCAAAAAAAAAAAAAAAAAAAAATCAATCAATAGATGTGTGTGAACAGTGTTGGGGAAGTTAAAAAAACAAAAAGTGTCACAATATTGCAATACTACCTAAAAGCGTTACAAGTTACCTTTTAATGGAAAGTAATGTATGAGTTTACTTATTTTGCTTTGTTTTTAACGAGAATAGCGAAAAAAGTTGTACTTTAAGCAAATGTTAATGCCCTTTCAGACCAAAAGTGAAATGAAAAAACCTCAGGCTGAAGGAAATGCAAGCTCACTCTTGTACAGTAGAGGGCGCCACTCAAACTAACCCTTCAGCTGAACCGGCGCTTGACTAAAGATATTTTCGCCTAGTATGGTTCAACCATAGACAGTAAAAGAAATTGGACAGAGCGATCTCATTTGAACTCCATCGAGACGACTGAAGCCCGTTTTGGGCGATTTTTAGCACTTCCGTCCCTGACGCGCAGACTCAAACAGACGTGAGTGACCCGTCTGTCTTCTAGTGCTGTGGTATGAGAAATCTGAATCATTCCCTTCTGAAACATGCAGAGGCGGAGAGTGTGAATAGGAGCTGTCCATGAGCGAGGAGAAGGAGACAATTCTGCTAGGTATTCTGGTTAATTATTTTGTCATTTTGCCTCCACGTTTCGCCGATTGCGCGCGAGCTTCTTCTCATGTCCATACGGTAATCTCTCTCCTGTGCGACAGAGAGTCACGCGAGTATGACGCAATCGTTAGCCTACTTTCACTAAAACTGCTTCTACGGGGCCATAACATAAGCTACAAGGTAATGGAGCTATTTATACATTGTCGTGTTTCTTTAGAAATAAATAAAGGACAAATGGGGTCTTCAAACGACTCAGATGTAAAGTTATTCGCTGTCAAAGTGACGCCAAAATGAATGGGAGTCAATGGGAATGCTAACGCAAGTGAAGTTCTGCTACAAGAGGTCATAGACATATACACTAGACCTCACCTGGGGGTTCTAAGCATGCGTCAAAACCGCCGCCATCTTGGAACAGGGGTCTTGTCATAGAAAGTAGCTAGGTAACGCTGCTATCTCTGCCTTTACTTCGAATTCATTGATGGTGGCGGACTTTTGTGCAGCGTATGAAGTTCACGGATGAAATCTGAACTAGGAAGAATGTTTAAAAAAAAAAAAAAAAAATTAATTTTTTTTTTTTCTTTCTGGAATCAATGATAAATACATGTCTGACCGTTGGAACAAACCAAAAAAACAAGAAAAATCGCATTCATGATGATTTATGGTGATTTTATTTGCGTTAGACCTGTGTCTACTACATTGACGCTGATGCATTAAAGTGGAGGGGCTCCCCTGTTTCAAGATGGCGGCTCTATTGACGCATTCGTTCTAATGAACTGCCGTATCCAAGGTGAAGTCTAATGTATATGTCTATGACAAGAGGTCAGCTCCCGGTCGATGGATTACCCCCTTGGGTTCAGCTGGATCATTGAAGGTCAGACATTGCTTAATACACTCAAGAAAAGTTCCTTTACTCGCTACTTTAAAAAGTAATCCGATTACATAACTTGCTTTACCCTCCAACACGACAGATTCTTCATATAATGTTTGATCACCAATAAAACATTTAAGCATTTGTTCACTGAAAAAAAAATATTCATGCCTTAAAATATCTTGAATGTAACTCGACACCCTTGCCTCATTTAGTATGCACGGTTCTATGAATATGCAAATGAGCCCCACCTCCACTCACTCATCCACTGGTTGACGATCATACGTTGATCTGATTGGTTACAAGGTGGTTTGTGACGTGTGAGCGTGTTTTTGAGACCGTCTTTGGTTCACTGCAGTTTTAAGGAGGAAATACTCAGCAATGCTGTCCACTTATCAACTTACACATGTGTGTCTTAAAGCATATTAAAAACACACACATAACATTAAAAGCTGGATTTACACCACAGGGGGACTTTATATTGTGTGCTCGATTTTACTCATTAATTCATTCCCTCATTTCAGTTAAATCAAAACAAGAGAACAAATTATTTACTAAAACGAGGGGAACAAATTTGTGGGCATGATATAAAATGTATAGACATTAAAAATGACACAACGAAATAAATAAACTAACTTGCAACAAATAACCTGATCATAAGTGTTCTTTCGATTGTCTGTTGTACACTTTCAAAAAAAAAAATTCAAAACATGGAAACGGAATATAAAAAAAGATGCTAATTCAAAATGTTAAAACATCGATGATACTAAAACACTTGTTTGAAGCAAAAGTTCATACAAAAGCGTGTCATACGGTCGGGCGGACGACTGAATGTAAAAAACGCGTCAGGAAGGCAGGAAACCTCGACAACAAATGATGCTTGTGATATTTATTATACATGGCAGAAAATATTTGGTCATTACATAAAAATAAAAAATAAACAAGTTTCTGGTGGAGACTAAAATCATACAAGACCTCCGAGCCTGAACTTCCATTTCACACGAACCGGACGATGATCAGCTGACGTCGCAAACCCGAGAGGATAAACACAAATACTAAAACTGCACTTGACGAACGGAGAGGCGCACACACACACACACACACACACACACAAACCAAATCTCCATCTATCCAACAACGACACGAGAGGCGAACGTTATGCAAACATGCATATTCTCTTCTGTACGTCTCCACCGCAGAGTTTCAGCTTCCAGAAACACTCCAGGACCCGAGAGAGACACCCTTAAAAGAAGACGTGCCGTCGAACATCAACACAGCGATGCGTTCGGCGGTCACGAGAACACTTGAGCGTTCGGTTCGTTGGTTTTATGTGACACAGATCAAACGCGCCGTGACCGAGGGCGTCCGATACAAACCATTGTAAGAGCCGGGCTCGAATCACCGAGAGCGAAGACGCAAACTCAAGGTTCACCAAAACAACCTTGGCATTTCCAGAGGAACATCGTCTGATTAGCACCATTATGCCATAAAACACATAAAACAGGAAACTGCAGCTAACTGACTAAACAAGGGTTTATGCACGATGTGCATATAACTTACAAAGCAACTTCTGGACCAAAATAAACGACAAACTGCAGATATATACGATGACGAGGGTGCCCGCTGGAGCTCGTCCGGACGCCCGTGAATCTGAAACGAGGCGGATTAAACTAAACATTCCTTTAAGAATTTCAATTCAACAACATGAACTTAAGCGATTCGGCTTCCGTGAGTCATGTGACGAGGGCGATGCGTTTAAAAGAGAGGAACACGGCTAACCTTCGATTTCATTCAACGAAGCCCATGTGCTTCAAACAACACAAATAACGTCTCAAACTAAAGGCACAGATTCACCGTAATGAAGGTTTGGATGAAAGCGTCATGATTTCACAGTTCCGATCGGCGCGTCTCAGGCTCACACGAGACGTTTGTAGTAACGAAAGCTGGTTTTGAGTTCATAATAGTTTGGAAAACAGAAATTCCCCACACAGAACGACTGTTTCCTCTCACGTGATGTTTCTGTACAGGGAAGGACACGGAGATGCTAACGATGACACCGTGATGTCGTTTGCCGTTAGCCTGACGTGAAGGAGAAGTTAGCCGCTAGTTTGACCTTGTTTCGTGTCGTCCGTCGACCGGGGCTGTCCGTAATGCAAGCGTTCGCTCGGCTCGACTCGTTCTCTGGCGCGGCGAGGAGGCCGTTGGCCGGTCGAGGCTGCCGATCGTGAACCGGATCGAAGCGCATCAGATCTCCGGGATGAACCGGGTCGGGTCGCAGCTGAGGAGACGGCAGGCACGACGGGACCGGGCCACACAGGAGATCCACGGGAGATCCCGAACCCAGACACAGCAGCTCCAGCTCACCTGACGGACACACAGAATCATCAACGAACGCGTGCGCGTGTTCGTGGCGTTTTATTGACCATTAGTATTTGAGTTTCAGCTCCGGCTATTAGATGCATATTAAACATTTAACAACATATTATAATATGTATAACATAATTAAAACAAACTTAGACAAAAAATAATTCTTTAAAATGTACTTGTGCTAAAAATAGCAATCCCTGGATCCATAAATCAATCCTTAAAGGGATAGTTCACTTTGAAATTAATTTTTGATATGTTTTATCTTACCTCAAGGGCATCCAAGATGAAGATGTCTTTGTTTCCACAGTATTTTCAATTTTGACATTTTTCAGTAAAACCGTTGTTGTCTATCAGTCATACACTGGAGGCTAAGGGGGTCCACCAAAGAGCAGCACAGAGAAGTCCAAATTAAACATGATTTAATGACTCGTAAATGTAAGTACACATTGATGGCCTAAGACACGAAACGAAAACAGTATTTATATCGTTTTGACCTCGTGTAATTACAGTGATCTGAATCAGTTGTTCAATGTCCAACTGAACCGAACTGAATCAGTTCAATGTTACGCCGGAAGTGATCGCTTGCGTGTGACGTCACTCAATATTTACACGGAGATTTCGGAAGTTTTACGTTTTACTAAACATATTTAGATATCCCGAAATCGTCTTCCATTGCGGTTTCCCGTATATCTAAATATGTTTAGTGAAAGGTAAAACTTCCCAAATCTCTGTATAAACAAAGAGTGACGTCGATCACTTCCAGACCGAAGCGCCCCTGCCGTCAGATCATTTTGTCATGGCTGTGATTACACGAGGTCAAAACGATATAAATACTGTTGGTTTTCGTTTCGTGTCTTAGGCCATCAATGTGTACTTACATTTACGAGTCATTAAATCATGTTTAATTTGGACTTCTCTTTGGTGGACCCCCTTAGCCTCCAGTGTATGACTGATAGACAACAACGGTTTGACTGAATACTGTGGAAACAAAGACACCTACATCTTGGATGCCCTTGAGGTAAGATGAAACATATCAAAAATTAATTTCAAAGTGAACTATCCCTTTAAAACTGTCCTGATAAAAAAAAAAACGCAGTCTCATAATATTAAAGAACTGGCAAACCCAAAGAATGTGTTTCTCATTTGTTAACAAAGAAGTTTAATTACTTCAATGAGCTCATCGTTTCTGCATTAAAATACTAAATTAATACTTTTTTTGGCTGTGATTCTGAAATGCATAACTCAGAGTTTCCTCTGATAAACACATCACAGTGAGTTGTAATATGGAGTGTATTGTGAAAAGCGCTGTATAAATAAAAGTGAACTGGAGTTACCGCTGGCGGGGCTGTCAGTGGACCGGCTCTCTTCATCGGGACGAGGACTGTCTAAAGTGGCCGCTGGACTGCCTCGAGCTACAGACACACACACACACACACACACACACACATTCAGCTTGACTTAACACACACCCTCACAAACAGCTCGGGCTGTCGTGAGACCCTCATGCCACGATTCGACACAAGACATATGGTAAAAGGTTAACAAAAATGTTTTACTGTTGATTAAAATGCTAAATTCCATTTCACAAGATGTAAACAACACTGGTCCAGAAGCACTTCCTGTTTCAGTTTGTAACCGTTTTCTTTATTTCACATGTAAAAAAAAATCTTAAAGACGTTTGTTTAACTTTTTGATTCAGTTTTATATGTTCTGTTGGTTGTATTTTATCCCAGCTTTTGTGTAGTGTTAAAAAACTGAAACAGGAAGTGCTTCTGGACCAGTGTTGTTTACATCTTGTGAAATGGTCTATATCTGTTGCTCTGTTTATTTGAATGGATGTTATTTCGTTATATCCATCTGGCATGAGTACAAACACTGTTTTTGTTGGTTAATCACAATGGCTGAAAACTAAACAACAGTGCTCACATGTATAGTCTATTACTAATACTTTATGATTCTGATACTTGCTGTTTTTATTTTTTATTTATTTATTTTTTCTCCCTTGTTTCTGTATTTTATTTTATTTTCAAAAGCCTCCCGTGGACAGGTGTTGAAAATTAGCATGTATGCTATAATCACTAAAAACAAATGCATATGGCTCGTCCAATGTAATTGTATGTCCATGTCAAATAAGATATAAAGATATAGAGTTACACTGAATCATGTGTTCATTACTGTGCAGGGAAATAAAGCGCTCTGATACCTCTCATATCGTTCTTCAGGACTATGATCTTTTTGTGACCGTGACCTTTGATCCAGACAACCTGTTGAAAACACAGATGAGAGAGAATGGGTTCATTGAGGTGTGTATGTGAGCATGCTGAATCGAAGCATACATAGGTGTGTGTGTGAGACCTGAGGTATGGCAGCCAGCAGCTCGTCCAGCGTCTTGTATCCGTACGCCAGCGGCTGAAACTCTCGGCCGGTGTATTTGCTGAAGGCGCCGCAGAACTCCGACAGGAAGATCTGGTTATAATGATAGGTGTGCAGAAGCGCACGGACACTGCGGGCGAACTGGTAGAGTCTCGTCAAACTCACACGCTCCTCAGCGCCTCCGTCATCCTCATCATCCTCAGAGAGCTGGAGACAAACAAGACACACCAGACTTCACACCACAAGACACACGATACCATTCATTTCAATGGAGAGCGGCCGACTTCCAGACACGCAACAAAGCTGAGATACGTTTAAAGGAGAACAATGAACCTTTGGTCTAATAAAACATCTGTACATAGTCAATCGTTCTCTGAGATTTGTTTTCATAATAATCGAATGTAAAGAGTTTTATCTCGAAAAACTGTTTAGCGTATAATGCTAGTAATGACCAAGTAAAAAGAAATGGCTGGTTTATACCACTAACAAGGCTCAAAATAGCCCCACACTCACACAGAAACATAATGAGGGTCTATACATGCAAAACGAAGCATTGAGGACTTTGTAAGAATACAGAGAGTTTAATAAGACAGTTCACTTCGTGTATACAGACAGGAGCCATCTTAGAAAACAGTCATGATAAGTCAAACCACGAACGCCGTGCTGAGTGATCTGAACTGTATGAACGGCGACTTATCAAGACTATTTTCTACTGTGAACTGTCTTCATAAGATATCTTCTTACTAACCATCAGGTGCTCTTCGTTTCTGAGTCACACTTGTTATCTTCCCGGACACCTAAAAATTAAATTTCCTCCATCCCAGTAAAACCAATGCAATTTATTTTTGTTCTATAATATTTATTCTTTGTAATTTAGTACTTTGAGACAATTTGATTGAATTTATTAATATTTATGCAATATTTATGGTCTATTTTTGGCATGTAAAAAAAAATATATATATATATATATATATATATATATATATTATTTTTCAAAAAATTATTAATGCAGTATTTTAGTTTAATATAGAGTCTACGCCTTCAGAAAAAAAAAATATTTTTTGAAGAAAATTAGCACCATCTGGTTACAGTATAGAGAAAAAGCGTAGAATCATGGTGTAACCACTAGATGGCATGTACAGCTCTCTATGCAGAAGCATGTGAATTCCCCAGATGTTTATGAACACATTTTTTTTTGTGGTGGATTTGAATATATAGTTGAAACGATGTCAAAAACGTTTTTTTATAAAAAATAAAAAAAAGTAAAAAATAAATAAACAAATAAAAATTTGTGAATTTTTGTGTTTTTGTCCATTTCCCATTCATTTCCTATGGGGGTCATTTTTGACCAAAGACCACAAGTGTGACTTAGCATGCTCAGATCATGACCTCAATTTTTTTGTGTATTCACATACATAATGCCATAAAAGTCACCAAGTTTCGTAACATTCAGATGAAGCTGTGATTTTTAAAAAATTTCAAAACAGAAAATGTTTCAGTCAGAAATGACCGAAGAGCACCTGAGGGTTTAACGGTCTGTACTCTTACAAAGTCCTCAATGCTTCGTTTTGCATGTATAGACCCTCATTATGTTTCTGTGTTAGTGTGGGGCTATTTTGAGCCTTGTTAGTGGTATAAACTAGCGATTTCTTTTTACTTAGTCATTACTAGCATTATACGCTAAACAGTTTTTAGACATAAAACTCTTTACATACATGTGGATTTACGCCACAGGGGGACTTTAAAGAAGTTTAAAGTTTAAGTTTAACGTCTAAGTTTAAAGTCTCAAAGCTTGCCTACTCTTCTGCTGCACATTAAAAGTATCATACACACATTGGCTAGGCTAAAGCTCTTGTGGCGCTCGCACCTGCAGCAGGTACGGCAGACTCTTGAGGAGCTCGGTGAGCGAGATGAAGCCGTACTCGCAGGGGTTGAGCGGCGTGGAGTAAGCGAACTCGTACTGCTGCCTCAGCTCCTCCACTCCGAGATGATCACGATCCTCAGGAAGTGACATCATCAGCGCCAGCAGCTGAGACGTCAAGGCACGCAGGGACTTCCTGTTAATGAGCTGCACCTCCTTCCCTTCGGGAGCATCGACCACCTGGAGGAGAGAAAGACGGAGAAATCTGAGGTGTACACTTACAGACTGGCGAAAGACAGAAGCAAACGATCGCGCAAATTCATAAAAACATCTGCTGAATACTTAGGCCGTGTGTCTGCCAAAGCGTTTTTCCACGCGCCTGCCGTATGTTTTCAATTGTTTTCAATGGGAGCGCCACGTTTTTTAAACGCCATGAGCGTCCCGAGGCGCTGAGCGTTTTTTTTTTTTCACGCTGAAGCGCCCGGCGTTTTTACTGGTCGCTGGGAGTTGAAAAATGTTAAACTTTGGATAAAACGCAGAAAACCCAGAGTTAAACAGTTTAGTTTTACCGTTTTCTAATCCATTCAGCTGATTTTCTGATATTTAGAAGAAATATCAGAAAATCAGCTGAATGGATTCGAAAACGGTAAAACTAAACTGTTTAATTTTGGGGGAGTGGTAAAATGAGCCTATTTCCTAAAAAAGTGGGGTATCCCATTAACCCTTGTGCATCAATTAAAAAAAGTTACACATATGTAAAAAGAGGACAAAAATGTCCATGCCAAAAAACTGTCATAAAAAAGTGACGCTTTGGAGCACAAACTTAAGTTTGGTACCATTTTAAAGAAGACCCTTTGCAGATTATTGCTGAAGTAAAAAAATAATAATAAGTAAATCCAAAAAAAGTTATATAGGTATAAGTTTATGAAAATTATTCATAAAAAATATTTTATATAAAATATATATTTTATAAATCAGGTTGAACTCAAAACTGAAATAAAATCAAAGCCATAAATCTAAATAGGTTGTGTTCCAAATTTGAGGATGATATCTGAAAAAATGAGCTTTGGGTAACAGTTTGTTTGGGTGTAGTAACATATTTTCCCCATTGGGTGGCAGCAAAACCCCACTGCAGCTCACAGTGATTGGATTTGAATTTGCAGTTTTTCTCTCTCAGTATTACAAACACAAACACACACACACACATATTTTTTTATAACACACATACTAAGCACACTCTGACATCCATACCAACACACCCACACAAATATTGTTGCATAATTTATCCAGTTGGCTCTGTAGTATGCCGAACCAGAAAACAGGAATAAAGCGATATTTGTTTTATAGGCCAAACTTAAAAAAAAGGCACCTCTGATAAAAAAAAAAATAGTAAAAAATAAACTTTTGAAGCCTTGCCATCAGAATGAAAGCCTCTTAACAAAGATTGCATAATTTTATAGTTAACTGAACCGGGGATTAAAAATGGCAGTTTCAATGGGGACATTTTTGTCCAAAAGGCGCTGAGAGGGAGGATTTTTTGTACCTAATGCAAACAAATATTTTTTTAAGAAAATGACAGTGAAATAGTAAAATTCCAATAAAAATACACACCTGTGGCAATTTTTTTGCAGTTGGCTTTAACACAGGCAAAGTGATCAAAAAAACAAAACTGAAAAGGACAAAAATGTCCATAAGGATGCACAAGGGTTAAAGTTGCTAAACACAGAACTTTGCCTTGAGTTTAGAGACCTTGCCCGTGTACCTTCACTACATGGCAGAGTTTGCTGAGCAGGACGGGCAGCGTGTCGGAGTCGTAGTCCTGCAGGCGGAGGCTGTAGCCGAACGTCTTGTTGTATTCGCACAGCAGCTGATTGACAGGAAGTCCTGAGTCTCTCTGAGCTCGAAGCAGCTTCACCAGCTGAGCCGCTAGTGCTTTCACACACTCCACCTCCGTCAGCGCTAGCAGACGCTCCTCTCCGCACTCCAACACCTGAGAGAGAGAGAGAGATAAAGCTCCCGCCGACTGCTCCATCACTAAGACTGTACAATAAAACCGCACGCGATTTGCCAGTCTGAGATTATTTTATGCGCAGTTTGTCAGTGCAGCGGCTGATTGGTAGTGAGTGAACACAAGAGGACGGCTCACACACCACACCAGGGTTTATACAGCAACAGGGTATATACAGTCATCCTTAAGTTAAATTTATCAGTAATTGTTTTATATATAATTATATATAATATATATATATATTTTATTAGTTTTAAA